TATGCTCAATGACCTGAATAGTGTTTCCCAACGGATAGGTCTTAAAATGAACATGGACAAAACAAAGATTATGTTTAATGTCCATGTCACACCTATGCCGGTAGTTGTTGGGAGCACTAAGCTCGAAGTTGTTGACGAGTATGTTTACCTGGGACAAATAATCCGACTAGGTAAGTCCAACTTCGATCGAGAGGTCAATCGACTGATTCAACTCGGTTGGGCAGCGTACGGGAAATTACGGCACATCTTCTCGTCAGGTATACCTCAAAACTTGTAAACGAGACACTATTGAGGTCATTGAGCATAGTGCTTAGGTCCTCCAGGGATTCTGCCATAAGGACTATATCATCGGCAAATCGAAGGTGAGTGATGTACTCGCCATTGATGTTAATACCGTACCCTTTCCAGTTCATTAGCTTGAAAACGTCTTCCAATGCAGCGGTGAAGAGTTTCGGGGATATAACGTCACCCTGTCTTACACCTCTCTGCAGTTGGATAGGTTTCGTACTCTGATTCTGTACTCGGATAGCCATCGTAGCCCTACTGTACAAACATTTCAGCACTTATCGAAGTGTAAGGTATATCGATACCGATAGTCAACTTGGCACCGCTGAATGGACTGTAGCACCTCTCAAATTTCGACGGAATAAAAGCCTTTCTCATAGTCCACATACGCAAGGCAAAATGGCAGATTGTACTCTTCTGTCTTCTGTACAATTTGCCGAATGGTGTGTATATGGTCTATGGTACTAAAGCCTTTTCGGAAACCGGCTTGTTCGGGTGGCTGGAAGTCGTCGAGTCTGCGTGAGAGACGATTCGTAATGACTCCGCTTACGCAAATAGATGTCACAAAAATGCATCACTTAAATAATCTTTCACTCGCCGACGATTCCTGGGCTCTTCAAGGTGATGTTGACATACTTTTATGTGTTAATTTATTCGCGCGCATTTTATTACCAGACAAAATTTTCTCACGGCCAGGAAATCCTAAAGCGATAGTAACGGTTTTAGGATATATCGTTTTAGGAGAGGCACCAGTTGATAAACGGGACTCTACCTCCTGGTCGCTTTGTACCACATCTTCCAACGAATGTCAGGATCTTCGCAAGTTTTGGGAGATGGAAGAAGTAGAAATTGCCCCTATCAATAGTGTCGACGATCAGTATTGTGAGCAGTTTTATGCCTCTACAGTTAGTAGAAACGTATTAGGCAGGTACCAAGTGGCCTTGCCTAGCATAATTGAGACCTCCACTCTTGGAGACTCATTTCATATCGCAAGACGCCGTTTGTTAAATCTCGAACGCAAATTCGCGTCTAACCCAAATATAGAGATATATATATAAGAGGTTATATGATAACGTCGTCAAGGAGTATCTTGAAAATAATTATGTATCGCCGGTCAGTAACAATGACTCAAATGAATTCGTGTATTATATTCCTCACCATCGTGTCATATGCGATGATAAAGCGACGACCAAACTACGTGTCGTTCTTGACGCTAGTCCTAAGACCAGTGATGCACAGACTTATTAAGACTAGGGGCCACTCGGGCAAATTATGAACTGATGGCGGGCCGCCAGAAGTATATGTAATTAAAGACAATAAAGAATTGCTAATAATGTATTAAAATTGAAAAATAATTTATTAATTTGAAGCGTGGCACTGCATAGTGCTTACAATCTTTTTTATATTTGGCTCAAATTTACTTGTAGCAACTTCCAAACTTTCATTTGCAAGGCGGTTTGATTTTTTGTTTTATTATTATTTAGTATTGAAAAGGTTTGTTCACATATATAGGTAGAACCAAATAAGCTGGCACATTTCAGAGCGTTTATGCGCAACTCTTTGTACGTATTTTTATCAATGCAGCGGTAAAAGTTCAGCAAGTCTCCTTCGTTGAATTTGTTGCGTAAATCTTGGTCGTTTTGAATGTCGATAATTTCTAACTGCATTGACTCTGGCACATTTTCAACTGAAATCGTGAAAGGATTGCTGAATATGTCCAACAGAGGTTTCACTTTTTTAAACTCCGAAAATCTGTCTTGAAAAGATTGAATCAAAATATCTAGCTTTTCTACATAACTGAAATTAATCGCAGTTTTGTTGAATTTTTCAGCCATTTTCTTATAATTCGGAAAATGATTGTAATTTCCAGAATTCAATTGCGATCTGAAAAGTGTCAGCTTGCATTGAAAGGATGATACATGAGCGTAGAGCTGGGATATCAGTTGATTTTTGCCTTGAAGCCGTGTGTTCAAGACATTCAAATGATTTGTAATATCAACTAAAAAAGCCAAATCACATAACCAATCAGGATTTTTAAGTTCCGGGACATCCCTTTGCTTTTCCGCCAGAAATATTCCAATTTCTTCTATTAAATTTAGAAATCGTTCCAGTGTCAATACACGACTTAGCCACCTTACTTCTGTATAATACAGTAAATCTTAGCCTAAGACGAATGATATTTTGTATTCAGGTCCGGCTGTTCAAGCTGATCTCTTTAATATTTTATTGAATATGCGCCTATTCCCTATCGCAATGGCAGCAGATGTACGCCAAATATATCTGCGTATAGAAGTTCGCGAAGAGGATCGCCCTCTTCAACACATTTTGTGTAGGTTTAATCCGCAGGAACCTATACAAGTATTTGAATTTCACCGCGTGGACTTTGGCTTTAAAAGTAGCCTATTTTTGGCAATTCGCACCGTCCAGCAATTATGTATGGATGAAGGATACAGATTTCCCTTAGCAAATGTAATTCTGAGTCGAGACATTTACGTCGATGCTTTTGAATGCTTTTGTTGCATGAAACTGAAAATCTGATGTGACCTACTAAGCTACTAGGTTGTATCAATGACCTAAAAAAGTATTTTATTCTTTGGTTATTGGGTTCTATTAAAAAAGTAGGTACTCTGTGGTTCCGGGAGTCCTTCCAGACGTAGCGAGGTTTAGCGAGAACTTGATCGTCGACGGATTGTATTGCTACTGTTTTATCGTTAAAATAATGGTTTGAAGTGGATGTTGTGTCAGCGTATGTGAACTATTAGTGGAAACGACGAAACAAGTGCTTTGATGTTGATATAAACCTTAAGTAACCTTAAGTTATTTTGTTGGTTTAGGTGCCTTATTAACTTCCTCCCCGAACGGGTTCCCGCCTTGTCGTGGCTGGGGGGCTTAGTAGCCGTGGCTTGGTCACCCACGGTGAACAAAGAGGAACCCCTTGGCTGGCCCGTGGTGTAGGGCCGGCCCGAGGTGGCCACTCCGAGTGGGCTTGGTGAGCCCACTTCGGATGTGTGTCGGTGGGCTGCGGTGAGAGGGGTGTTCGCTCCCTCTACCGCTGCAGCCGAGGTGGAGTCGCGGAGGAAGAGGAGTGTTGGTATGGCGATGCGCCACTCGCCCTATCCTCCGCGACTCTGACGGGGCCGCACCGTTAATGATGCGGTGGTGGTGGGGCTGCGGGGGGAGAGGAGTGTCGGTATTGCGAGGCGCCGCTCTCCCTACCCTCCGCAGCCGAATCTCGGTTGGCGGCGTAGCCATAGACCAGATCCGCCGCTGGGGCCAGGAAGGCTGGTGCTTCTGAGTGCTAGTTTTTCCTGGCCCCATGGCCTTCGCGCATCGGACACGGGGGCGTCTGTTGCACATTGGAAATTGGAGGCCAAGGAGGAGGGCGCGCCATGTGTTCTGATGCGCCTTACCTGAGAAGGAGATGGGGGAGGAGTGGTCCTCTCCCGAGGAGGGGCCGCCATGGGGTGGCCAGCGCAGGTGGGGCCGCGGAAGTGTGCGAAAGCGTTCCCGTGGCCCTGCCAATATGCGACGAGGGTGGAACACCATGGGGTTTTAGTCGGTGCGAGTCCGACATAACCCGTCCTTGCCCCCGCGAGGCGGGTATGCGTAGGCATTTACCTATGTAAAAAAAAAGGTGCCTTTATTAACTTGAGTTACTGTCGTCATCGAATATCGTAATAATCGTAAATATCGAATAATGTCGTAATCTCCCAAAGGCTTCGCAATGTTACGCATCACCATATTGTGAAGAAGATAATATTATAATCCGAATGAAATGAAGACATGGCTCAAAAGACAAGCATCCAAGCCAAAAATCTTAGTAATAAAATTGCTGACGTAGCTGACCTTTGTGCGACATTGTCGCATTGACGTAAATTTGCATACGTTTTAATGTTGCCTGTATTAAATAATTATCTATATTTAATGGTAATATACTTCACCCCTTCTTCGCCGTCGCTTCTTAAGTCTTTTATGTTTACACATGTAAACGGTGATATGATTTTAATTTGTATGCATTATTCAATTATGTTAAAATCAAATTAAAAGAATATTAATGTTTTGAAAAGGCACTAAGTTCCGAAAATGAGTGTCTAAGTTTAAAAGTAGGTAATGAGTTACGATTAGTCATATTATCAATAGTGGGACATGAACACATTCTTTGGGTAGATATGGGAGAGATCGAACTCTCTTAATTAATTGATAAGCACCAACAGCCTTACTTATGATCATTGATAATTGTTTATTTAAATAAGTTTTAATTATCGTTATAAATGTCTCCTGCTGTTGTTGTATAACATATTATTTAGTGAAAAAGAGCAAGTTTTGTGAATAACAGCCCTAATACTTATAGTACTTAATATTTATTAACCTAATACTGTCAGCAGTCTTGAGTGTACGTGTAAACAAAAATGCACTTTTGTCCTAACCTTTCATGATTTTTAAATATTTTCTGTACAGGTAGATAAAAATATAAATTCACAATAATGGATGATTATTTTAAAAAAAACATTTCAAACCATTCCTGGTAAGGGTAATAATGAATTTATGATCTGGTAACACTAGTCAGTCTTGTCATTTCATAGTTCATACTTGATAATTTGATAACTTGATCTTTCCCACTGTATCGGTATCAGTACATTTTATATAAATTTAATTCCGCGAAGTGCTGCTGATCAAAACCCTATCAGTCGTTACCTTGTATCCAATACCCAATAATGACTCAAGTACTAAAGAAATTAACCGTTCAAGTACTCAAAAATAATAATGTAGAAAATATATTTAGTGTTACAGCTCTCAGGGCTAACAGGTAGAGTACCGGCGTTTTGGCTATTTACGTAATAATGTTATTAGCAGTAATTATTGAACAGTAAATATCCTGTTGGTACCTACTTACGTAAAGTTTTTTTTTCGGGATATTTATACCACGTGTATCATTTGTGCAATTATATATTTCGTGTTATTATTATTTTTATTCATCAAAATTCACAAGTATATGCTTACTAATTGACACTATGATATGTATACAGTAAAATATAAATTGTAATCTTTGATTATATAAATAAGGATTCAGTTTTATAATTTAGAAAAAATTAATGAACCAAAATATTTTTTCTCTTTGTAAAAATGTATTCTAATTTTATAAATTACGACTATACTTTAATTAATTAATTTAATACACTGTTTATATGTATGCTTAAAATTGTATAATTAAAAATATTTTCATTGTTTTAAAGTACTTGGTGGAGCAATGTGCAGATGGGACCACCTGATGTCATTTTAGGTATCACTGAAGCATACAAAAAGGATGCTCACCCAAATAAGGTCAACTTGGGTGTTGGAGCTTACAGAGACGATGAGGGCAAACCATATGTTCTACCTTCTGTGAGAAAGGTTAGAATGAATATAATATACTTAAGCAGTTTGTGTTAATTTATTTGTACTATAAAATTATTAGTTTTTCATTGCATGGGTTGAATTTATTTGATTTTCCTAGGCTTAAAATAAACATTATATGTAATAAAAACAGTCAGAACTTACTTTTATTCGAGTCATTTGCTTTGCAAACATAGGAAATTTCTTGTTACATGTTTTTTTTGCTCCCATTCTCATTTTTATATAAGAAGTTGCTTTATAGTTTAGAAACATTTTTTAACAATTTTGTATTTTCTAAAGGTTTTATAATTTGTAAAGGTATCTCTAAATTGCTTATAATATTTTTGATTAAATTTTACCATAGGCAGAAGAAATTCTACACAAGAAGGCACTTAATCATGAATATGCGCCCATAGCTGGTGAAGCAACATACACAGATGCTGTTGCTAAACTTGCATTTGGGGAAGACAGTCCTGTTATTAAGGAAAAGACCAACTGTACTGTGCAAGTAAGTTAATTGACTTTACATCTGGAATATCCTAAAGAACTAAAAGAATGTAGATTGATTAAAAATATAAAGGCTTTTTTTTTCATAGAATAAGGGTGACAAATGACCACATAGTCTACTTGATGGTCAGTGAAGACTGTGGCTCATAGACATCTATGTTTATCCCCAATTAAGAATCAAAATACAGATGTGTTGTCACCCCTGATGATTAAAATGGAATGCCTCGTATCAAGTAAAAAGGGTCTTCAGTTCTCTACAATCATCATAAGAAACAGCAGTACTGAACTGCTATTTTACTGTGGTATTCTGTGACAACACAGTCCTTCCCAGGTTGAGCCAATCCATTTGTGCTACAACTATTTATAGCTGCAGCATTCTCTTCAAATATATTCAATTGTTATAAGGTTGCACTTAACCAATGTGTGACTTGTTATTTAATATTTTTAAAGTAGGAAACTAAATATATATATAAAAATTATCAATGATACCTTAAAATTTTTATAAAACACATTTGAAATCAATCTAAATACAAATAACTTTATGATTAGGGTTTTGATTTAAAACTTCTATTCGGTAGATAACTAGTGATACAGGCATGAAGCAGGGAATTTTAGCTATAAGATGAATGTATTGACTCAACCAGTGAAGTACAAAGGCCACATAGAATACTACCATAAAATATCAGGCTTTGTAATTTTATAATTTAAACTTTTAAGTTTAAATTTGTTTAAATATTAATTTCAACTATTATTTTCACCTAGACTACTGAATTTGGTAAAAGTTTTGTTGTCTGTCCACCTTCATAGAGAATTAAGAGGGATCAGCAAAGGGGGGACAGAAAAATAACCCGTTACTCCCCTTCCTAGTCATTTTACAAAAAAAACTTAAAATTATACTGCTTGTTACCCTTATTTTCTACAAAAAAAAATACAATTTCAGCTTGATGTAAATTTTTTAATTATTAACTTTATTTTTTTAAATTATGTATTATGTGGTAAGAATATCCACTATCCTATATCTTCCCGTGGGTGTCGTAAGAGGGAAACTGAGGCAGTAGATGGCAAGAAGCAGCATCTTTCTGATAAAAGCAAAAGCAAAAAAAAATTGCAGTTGCCAGCCCCCTCGCCAAGTGTGGCAATTATGTCAATATACCCCCTATGAGCAACGACACAAATAAACGGCCCCCAGTCTCTGGCGCCCTCGCTATTCCTTACTACGGTGGCGACCATGGTAACGGCAGGGCAGGGGGTGCTAAGAATCTCCGGTGGAGGTTCGTTTGCCACTTACGACAACTCGAGCTGGCAACATATAACGCACGCACCCTAAGACTGACGAGAAGATCCTGAAGAGATAGACAAGTTGCGCTGGAATATTATAGGATTATCCAAGGTTCGAAGAGAGGGGGAGGACACGGTAATCCTCGAATCCGGCAACTTGTTCTATCACCGGGAGGGCGACCATCTGTACCAAGAAAGTGCCGGATTTATCGTCCACAAGTCTCGTTAACAACGTTGTAAAGACTGGGAGTGTGTTGACGAGGGTTACGTACCTTATACTCAAAATCACCAAACGGTATTCGTTGAAGGTCATACATACGCACCAACCTCGGCACATCCCGATGAGGAGCTGGAGGAAATGTATGAGGAAATCTCTAAGAGCCATTCATTCCTCCAAAACCCACTATACGGTGTTAATGGGAGACTTCAACGCAAAACGAGGCACAAGAGAGAATGGTGAGCTGAAAGTAATGAAATTCGGATTAGGGCAACGGAACCCAGGGGCAAGCAGCTGGCCGACTTCATGGAGAAACTGAGACTCTTTATGATCAACTCTTCCTTCCAGAAGCGGTCCGACAGGTAGTGGACCTGGTTGAGCCTCGACTTCAGTATGACGACTAGACGGCAATTGTTCAGTGATGTCTCAGTGATCGCGAGGGGGTTTTTGGATTAGAGTACGAGGGGGACGGAGCCCCTTAGCTCTAATCCAAAGTCCCGAAACCTTTCAGCTCGAGTTATAAAACCATTTGCAGTGTCTAGAAGATTGCAATCCAGTGGACGTTATGAATGACAAGCTCGTGGAAACTGTCCATGCGGTTGGAGCTAAGTTTTGCAAGACCCACCATAGAAGAACACAAAAACTCTCCGATCACACTCTTAATCTCATGGCTGTTAGACGGGAAATGAAGCTGGAGTCTTCAATAGATTTGATAGCATACAGGCAACTGAACAGACAGATCTCAAAATGCACAACGCACTCTTGAAGAACTACAGACCGATTTCCCTTCTGAGCCGCGTCTACGTGCTCTTTTCTAGAGTCATTACGAATCGTCTCGCACGCAGACTCGACGACTTCCAGCCTCCCTAACAAGCCGGTTTCCGCAAAGGCTTTAGCACCATAGACATACATACCCCTCGGCAAATTGTACAGAAGTCCGAGGAGTACAATCCGCCACTATATCTTGCGTATATGGACTATGCGAAAGCCTTTGATACCGTCGAAATTTGGTCGTTCTTGCAGTCCCTTCAGCGGTGCCAAGTTGGCTGTCGGTATATTCAAGTGCAGAAGTGTTTGTTCAGTAGGGTTACGAAGGCTATCCGAGTACAGAATCAGTGTACGAAACCTATCCAACTGCAGAGAGGTGTACGACAGTAATATCCCTGAAACTCTTCATCGCTGCATTGGAAGACGTTTTCAAGCTATTGGACTGGATAGGATACGGTATTAATGTCAATGGTGAGTACATCACTCACATTCGAATTGCCTACGATATAGTCCTTATGGCAGAATCGCTGGAGGACCTAAGCACTATGCTCAGTGACCTCAATAGTGTCTCCCAACGGATACACAACGAAAAACACATACGGATCGACAACCGATGGGGAAGAAAGGTTCTCGAGTGGCAGCGTCGTACCAGCAGACGAAATGTAGGGCGTCCTCCCACTAGATGGAGTGACGACAATGGATGCAGGTGGCTAGGGACCGTTCTTTGTGGCATTCCTTGGGGGAGGCCTATGTTCAGCAGTGGACTTGTGAAGGGCTATAATGATGATGATATTGATGCTACCACAAATATTACATGCAGAACAAAAATTCTAATTGATGCATCAATTAGAATTTTTGTTGACAAGTTTTTTAACCTCAAACTATTAGAAAAGAGGATTTTGTTTACTCTTTGATTGTTTGTTTTTGTCATTACTTGGAACATTGCCAAATATGTGAAAAGCAATTTTTTTGTTTATGTCTGACAACATCTTAACTATTCGTCACCATCAGCATTACTGTAAAATATTTCTTATATAGTATCAGTACACTGATGGATACAGGTCTCACAGAGAATATATCAACTGTTAAATAGCTTTCATTACGCTGGTAACACGCTTAGGACTGTCTATTCATGTTTCGTTTATTTAGATACGTTTATTATTACTCATTAAATTATTCAAACAGATGTAAATAGTAAATTTAAAGAAACAGTTATATTTATACCAATATTAATGTAAAAGATAATTTCATGGCTGGCAATACATGGCAGGATCATGACTTATATGGCAGAACCACTGCTGAACATAAATCCCAAAGTGCCACAACCCATGGTTCAGAACCATTTGTATCCTTCGACTCCTTGCATGGCTCATCAGCTTGTTACTACATTAGTGTATGATTGATTGACTGCCTTGTTAGTTTAGTGGTTGTTAACGTGACCGCTGATCATGACGTCTCGGGTTCAAACCCCATGTCAGACCAAAAAAATCAGATCTTGAGTTTTTTTCTGTAAAGTAATTTTATAGTAGTCAGTTAAAGTAGGCCGGAGTAAGGTAGTTGGCACTGTCTCACCTCGGAAAGCACATAAAGCCGTTGGTCCTGTGCCTGATCTCTCTCCGGTTGTGTCGTTTTACCGTCCCATCGGACTATGAGAGTGAAGTAATAGAGAGTGCACCTGTGCTTGCGCATACGCTATAATCCTGTCCTGCGCCGATGGCTAGTCTTCGTTGAGGCTGGTCGCCGTGATCGAAATTCGGTCTGGAGGACATTATTAGTGTATGATTACATACAATGTCAGCAAAATTGTTTTCCTTCCACCGGTCTCTGTATGTTTCTAGATCATTTCTAATTGTTATCATAGTTCGAATCATCTCAGTTCAATTTGGTGATTTAACTCGATGGCAGAAGTATGTGCAGAGTATGTATGCCATCTCCACCTTAATTAGTTCACGTCCAATTTGCGCTCGTGTAAAACGTGTGCTAATTGTCAGTCGTAATTATTCAGTTAAAGCATTATAACAGTTTTCGCAACAAAAACTCTTTTACATAATAACTTTATTTGGTGTATATTATTAATTTTATGGTGTGAACCATACAATTAGTGTTGGTCAACCAATCCTTCCAGGCTGCCCCATTAATACCCTGTGGTTTGGTGTATTTCATACCCGTTGCTGATGTATCCATCAGTGGTAAAACACCCATGGTTCAACGTCGAATGTGTCAAAGCTAAAAGCATAAGCTTATGGCGTATTTATCTTATCAAACGCCATAAGCTTATGGCGTATTTATATTATCATACGCCACAAGCTTATAGCGTATTTATCTTATCGTGGGCCATAAACGTATGGTGTATTTATCATATAATATTATATCGGTCGAGGCGTAACAACAGATTTCTAGACAGTGTCTATTCGGATAACTCTCTCATATAATTGTAGAGTAAAATGGGACTTTCCTGGATTAAAAAGTAAGCTTCAAATCAAATTGTTCCTGATAGGGTGATAGGAGATTACAAGTAAAAAATAGCGGGAAAACAAACATAAACAGCAAACAGGTTATCAATAAAGAAAAATAACAACAGGCTATCAATATGTTTGTTCCAATTTCAAAATAGTGTTCTATTTATAAACTTGTCTCGTTTACAAGACGGGTACTTTTTTCTTTTATTTAGGTACATTATTGTGGAGTTTTAAGAAAATGTCTTTATAAAACTTCTTAAACAGTATAGATTAGGATGTAAGTTTGAGTCGATATGGACAAATTGTTAGATTTCATGGTCTTCTATAATTGTAAGATACAATGTTGATTCGAGAGATTTTATCCTTATCATAGACCTTATCGATTGGTTCAATAAAATAGCGACTGTCTGTTATTTGCATTTTTAGTTGGTTCGATTCCCAGACCAAATAAAAAAATATATGTTTGCTTACGGTTATTTTTATTTTGAAAAACAAAGGAATGCTTCCTTTGAGTGAAATTTGACATCTGCAATATTTAAAGTACTTTCCCTCCATGTTCTTTTTTTACAGCCTGTATAATGAACGTCAACCTCATGACATATCTAGATCAGAATGACTTAATCAGTGACCATCAGTACTTTACTGAGTTCTTCGAAATCGGTCAACTGGTTATCTAGCACATTCTACTCACATATAGGGCGAGGCCCTCGAGAACAATTGGAAAGCACTAGCTGTTTCTTTCCTGTGATTTCTCGGACGCCTATGACAGGGTTTAGAGGATAGCCTTTTGTACATGCTTCCAGAGTATGGCTTATATTACCTGGGTGAAGGGCTTTCACAGGTGAACAGTTTCCAAGTCGAGAGAAGCTATGTCCATATACTTTCGAGGCCCGTACTTGTTGGATATAGACGCTACTGTCCATCTCCTGATTTGTTTCCCTCTGTCGCCTCTTACGACTGCCACGGGATGATAAGGGGTAGTGGATATTCTTACATTGTCACAAACAATTGACTTAATAATCATTGACTAAAGTATTAAAATTGGGCGTAATTGAGGATGCACACATTGTTTGAAGCTATGGGACTCAATTCTAGCAATAAAATTGCGTTTTGTAATTGTGTTTTTCATGTTGTATTTGTGAATCCGTCTATCCATTTATTGTGCATTGCCATTTTGATATTTTTGCACTATTTTCGGTCACGGCACGATGCCAAAAATTATTTTGGATTTGGTTGCTACATATTTATAATACACATACAATAAAAATAGTTTCGTATTCGTCGGAAATTTAGTCACAATTTTCAAACTCCAACATTAATTGCTAAACCATAGTGTACATAAGATGTTATAAAATAATGTGAAATCAAAGTTATGGACCCTGTTGGGCACGCAACTTAGGGGCTAGAAGAGAGGTTATTTTCTTATAAGAAGTTAAATACGCGTATTTAACTTCTTATAAGAAAATGTCATTGTGGTTTATTGAAATAGAATTCAATTTAAATGAATGATCATTTTGTATAACCTACCTACATACACCTATATGTATTATTGATAAAATATTCATTAGTAATATAGTAACATGTATTAGTTAGGAACTGTTTTAATTTTTTTGTAAATATGATATCACTATTTTCATTTTTTAATATGTCAGGTAGTATATTATATAATTTTATGGAAGAAATGAATGTACTAGAAGTGTTTACTTTTAATCGGGAAGTTGGCAATACTAATTTATTTTTATGTCGCAACGTGTATTTGCATGGTAAATCTTCACGTTTTGTATAAAATTGCTTGTTTTTTCGAACAAGTTTTAGGTTCTATAATTAAAATTCATAGTTACGGTGTAGAAAAACGAAGAGTCGCAGCTATTGACTACCTGAAGGAACAACATGTCCTCGAAAAATATGTTTTCGACACATATCAAGTCCATCAACTCACTTTGTGTGTTATCACGCTGTTTTTCAGCAATGAGAGGAAGCAGGTGCTCAACCGTGGGATGTATGTAGGATGTTATTTTACTACTTCATTGTTTGTATTTTCATTGTAATTTAGAATTTTATTTTTAGACTTTATCCGGCACTGGTGCGTTACGTCTCGGTCTTGAATTTATCACGAAACACTACAGCAAGAACAAGGAAGTGTGGCTGCCGACCCCCACGTGGGGCAACCACCCGCAGATTTGTAACATGCTCAACCTTCCTCACAAGAAGTACCGCTACTTTGACCCTAAGACCAACGGTTTCGACCTCCAGGGAGCTCTTGAAGACATTAGCGTAAGTAAATTTGTTAAATTTTACAAACAATGCTTCTAACAAATATTGTTATGCGTCCACGAAGATAATTTTTCGGACCACCAACATTCCACTAAAGGTTCTATGTCAGATAAGACTACTACATGCGAGTTGTAAGAGCTAAATTTCAACAAACGTAACGAGAATTTCGGGAATACTGCTGGAGTAAATCCTATTGATTATTATTATTCAATTTTCTTTTAAAATCTTAAAAGTAATGCGTCTGATGATAATCTGTTCTGAAACAAATGCTCAAGCAGATAAGTTATTAATATCAGGTACATCTGAATTTTCAAGGATTACTGATTGGAAAGAGCTAACTATTCTTGAGCGAGGAATATTTTTGCGATTACACATTTTTTTATTTGTTTATACTTAATGTACAAAGTAGTAAATATGGCGGACATAATGGCATAGGGCATTCTCGCCCAGTTAATCATTATGCTAAACAGAGATAGATATAAAAGAGGCGGTGCAGCAAAAGTTAAAACAGAAAGGAATGATAAAATAATTTCACCTTTCGTTTATACAATTTTTTATAGGATAGGGTGACAAACAAGCACACAGTCCACCTGATTGTAAGTGATTTGCTGTGACCCATAGACATCTACATTTATCGTCAATAAAGAATCAAAATGCAGTTGCGTCGTCACCCGTGAGGACTAAGATGGAATGCCTCTTTTCCAATAAAATGTGTCTCCGGTTCTCTACACTCACCATACGGAACACAGCAGTATCAAGTTGCCATTTTACGCTAGTATTTTGTGAGAGCGTGGTCCTGCCCTGGTCGAGTCGACCCATTTGTGCTACAACTATACTACTAATATAGCTGCAGCATGGCTCTACCACGTAAAAATATTGAAAAAATTTGATATATGACATTATATCTCTGTGTCGCTGTTTATTATTGTACAATATAATTGGAAAAGACTCATCGGTGCATGTTTGTCACTGGTGGTGATAAATTCAACCTCAGTGCGGAACACACGCTGGTGTGTGCTATTTTTAGCCGGCTTCAAAGAAAGGAGGAGGTTTACAATTTGATTGCGTATTCTTTTTTGTATGTAAGTTACGCGATATCTTCGGTAATTGTGGGTCGATTTTGATGATTCTTGTCTATATAAATCAAATGATAGAGGTTTGCAGTTGTGCGCGCATCACGGAAAAACTACTTTTTTTTATAGGATAAGGGTGACAAACGAGCACACAGTCCACCTGATGGTAAGTGGTTACTGCGGCCCATAGACATCTACATCTATCCTCTATTACAAATCAAAATGTAGATGCGTTGTCACCCGTGAGGACTAAGATGGAATGCCTCATTTCCAGTAAAAAGGGCCTCCGGCCACCTGCACTCACCAAGCGAAACGCAGAGGTAAACCTCTACTTCACGCTGGTATTCTGTGAGGTCGTGGTACCACCCCGGTACGAGCCGGCCCATCCGTGCGACAGCAAAAGCTGCCGCGTGGCTCTACCACTGTTAAAAGTTACTTGATAGATTTCAATTAGGTTTTCTAAGTTTTATTTTAAGTTTCTTAGACACTTGGCCCTTACCTAAAAAAGAAATATTGCGATATATTCATTTAATATAAGTTTTTAAAATTTTAAAAACCAAAGATTTTTATACGGGGTTTTGCACACATTATACGTGGTAGAGTCATGCTGCAGCTATATTAGTAGTATGGTTGTAGCACAAATGGGTCGGCTCGACCGGGGAAGGACCACGCTCTCACAGAATACCAGCGTAAAATAGCACCTTGATACTGCTGTGTTTCGTATTGTGAGTGTAGAGAACCGGAGACTCGTTTTACTGGAAAAGAGGCATTCCATCTTAGGCCTCACGGGTGACGACGCATCTGCATTTTGATTCTTTATTGAGGATAAATGTAGATTTCTGTGGGTCACAGCAACCACTTACCATCAGGTGAGCTGTATGCTCGTTTGTCCTAAAAAAACACGGTCAACAACTGTACCTCCCTTGCTCTCGCGTTACTGAGCCAGATAATTTATATATTTTAGTTACAAACGGAGCAACAAATAACATTTTTTATAAATAAATGTTGTCTTTTTCATGAATTTCCTTAGCACATACGAAAACTTTGTTAATATATCAAACGACGCGGACAAAGTCGCGGGTATCAGCTAGTTTTACATAAAAAGTTTATACTTCAGGGGTGGTCCTATATAAATTTGTGGAAAAAATCCATCACTAAAATTGGCAAAATAGGGGATGACATTTTTAATATAACTATTTGGTTAAAATTGTGACATTCCTTAGTCATTTTTTTTATATTCCTGAGTCAAAAAACTTTAAATAAAAAAATAGAGGCGAACTTCAAAGAACTAATATGAATAATAAGTATATGTTTCCTTTACACCTACTTCAGAATGCGAAATTATTTCATTACGTTTAGTTCTTTGTAGTTGGCTTTTATATTTTCTACAGACTTCAAACAGGAGGAGGTACTCAATTCGACATTTTTTATGTGTGTTTTTTTATGTGGGTGAACCGATTTCGATGATTCTTTTTTTATTTGAAAGCTGGTGCTTCACATGTGGTCCCATATAAATTTGATCAAGGTCTGATCTGACCAATAGTTTTGAGTTATTCTTAATAATTTATATTGAAGTCGGTTGTACAAAATTTTTAATTATACTAGCTGATAACCGCGACTTCGTCCGCGTTGCTTGCTCACATCACTGAACACGTAGTGCTTATAAAAAATCGTTGTTTCTTAAAACTATAATAACTTTATATTAAATGAAGATATCGCAATAAGCTTATTGATAAGGGCCAAATGTCTAAGAAATAAATCTTAGAAAACCTAATTGAAATGTATCAAGTAGTTTTTCCGTGATGCGCGCACAACTGCAAACCTCTATCATTTTATTTATATAGATTGTAAGTTATTTTTTTTGTGTCAATGTATCATCCTTACTTACTATATATAATTATACTAGCTGAACAGGCAGACGTTGTTCTGCCCTTTCCGACGACCATTTAGGTCAGAGGAGCAGTTTCAAAGGTGCGTGACGTCTGCGATCGTTCGTCCTAAGCGCGGCGATTATCGCAATTCATCTCTGCAACGGATCTCATTTTATCCCCATATCGTTCCGTAGCAGTCGTAAAAGAGGAGACGTATTAAAATATTTTAATCTAGCTGTTCCCCGCGACATCGCCCGCGTGTAATTTAGGCTTTTAATTATGTTGCGCGGAACCCTAATTCTTTTTGTAAAATATAAGTATCGTAAGTTACTCCTTATAACATCAGCTATCTGCCAGTGAAAGTCCCGTCAAAATCGGTTCAGCCGTTTCGGAGATTAGCCGGAACAGACAGACAGATAAAAATTGTAAAATTTGTGTTTTTGTTATAAGTACCGTATATACGTTCAAATGCATTTAGTAAAAAGCTGTTATTTCGACATTACAAACAGACACTTCAATTTTATTTATTTGTATAGGTGCGAAATGCTTACCAAAATCTTAATTGTTTTTAATTGTTGATCGAAACTTATAGCAGTAGTACAATTTTAAATATTTCTTAAGTAGTTTTTTTTTTTTCAAAAGCATGCGTGCAAACTGTACACAGTATCAATTCATATCTTTGTTTGCATTTATTTGAAACTAATGTAAGATTAAACGTCTAATTATATCTAATAGTTTGATAAAATGAGCTGAATAATACTCTATTATAGATAAGAAGTAAGGTCATTATGTTAGTATGTTTTAATTCACTTTTATAATTATATCACTTTAATAATAAAATTATTTCCACAAAGAGCTTCAGAAGTCGTTGCTAGGGCATATTATATAGAAGGATGAAAGCCCCGACTTGAGAACCTTTCATGTGGAAATTATTTAACGTTTTTAATTTTTTTTTTGCACGCCTTACAACGCGCGAGCGTTTGGGAGTGCTCTACACTCGACATGCCGCTATGTGACGATTTTGAGATATAAAATTGTTAATATATCTCAATTTAGACTCTAAATCCATAAGAAAGGGATGTTTTGAAAACTAGATATATTACATTATAAAGTCAGCGTATTTTTTTAAATTCATTTGTTTAGTTATATTTACAAATATGTAGTTAAAAATTATTAGTACGGTAGTCTTCACGTTGTCACTTGTTTGGCTTAACGTTTCAGAAAAATATACGCAAAGACATGAAATAAATCTTTCTGAATAAGTTTCCATTATCAGACTCATAGAAGTTTACAAGATATTTATTTTTTTCATCAAAATTAAATGAAAATTTAATGAAAAAAATAAAAACGCTCATGAGGCGTGCACTTTTATATTTTCCAAACTTTTTTTAAAGTTAGCTTTTACTTTTTCAGAAAAGTATAATATTTTGAACCTTTTGAGTAGACTAAGGAATATTAAGAATATCACAAGTTCGAATGTCATATTAATACATCATAGTTACATTAAAAATTCATTCCCTATTTTTCCCGCAACATAAACGAACCTTCTACGTTTTTGAAGTCGACTAAAAACCACCAAGGAAACTGCTTTTTTATGTTATATGTATATTATAAAGAATGTCTACAGCCATGTATAAAGAAATATAACATATTTCTGATAATTTATATTTATAAAAATTAAGAATTCCTATAACTTTCGTTATACTCAACTTATACGTTGTAGAGCCATGCTGCAGATGTATTATGGTTGTAGCACAAATGGGTCGGCTTGACCGGGTTAGAACCACGCTCTCACAGAATACCAGCGTAAAATAGCTGCTTTATGCTGTTGTGTTTCTTATGGTGAGTGTAGAGGACCGGAGACCCTTTACTGGAATCGAGGCAATACTTAGTCCTCGGAGGTGACAACGCATCTGCATTTCGATTTTTAACTGAAGATAGATGTAGATGTTTATGGGCCACAGCAACTACTTACCATCAGGTAGACTGGGTGCTCGTTTGTCGCCCTTATGCTATAAAAATCATAGCGTAGTACATTATAACTCAATGTTATGGACAAACATTATGCACTCCAAGATAGTGAACTGATTTTTAGATCGCTTTGCCTTAATGCTTATTCTAGTTTACAGGCAGTTAGAATTTTGGGAGCCGTTCGAATTGAATTCCTGATAACCATTATAAGATAAAATCAGTTAATTCCATGGATTGTTTACTTTTCGATAGATGTTATTAGAGTCAAAGTCTATTAAATCGTGTCAAGCTTCGTTAAATAATCATACCAAAGATCCGATAATGTGTGACTTAATTTAGATAATCCAATTGTAACGGCAATCAACCATCGCGCTATATCGTAGATATATTATCCTTTATATTACCCCGTGTTAAAGCGTTACACGTCTTTAATATGTGATAGTCGAATGAGTGATATTAAGATATTAATAAATTTATTAATAGACGCGTATATCGTAGAGCGCGATTGCTGTGTTGCTCAATGGCGTACGCTAAATGATAAATCATGTTTGAAAAGATAATAGACGTATTAAACGTGACTTTCCGCTTTCTAATTTTTATACACAACAAGGTCACCAAATTAAATAAAGTTATTTTTAGTGTTGGCTTAGCTTTCCATTGACTCCCGAGTTGGGGGTTGATATGTATTTTTACAGAAAAGTTACACTATTATAAACACACACACAAAGTTACAACATGCGGAAACGCGTAATTTTTGAGAAAAAAGTTATTGAAAATCAATTATTCTTGCATTGTAATGTAATTGCCGTCAGTAGGGATATCGATTCTTTCCGAAAAAGGTCGATTTTTAAATCGATTCTAATCGTAAGTTGATGTATCGATTCACAAAAAATCGATTTCTAAAATATCTATATTTCGCTAAGCCGTAGAGGCTGCTCTTCCCGCAGCACCGGAGACGTAGCAGTCTCAAAATAGATACAGAAATCCTTCTGAATCAGTCCCCCTATATTTTATGATGAAGGAGATTTTTTTCTCATAAAAAGGATTTATATTTACATTATAAATGCAAACATGAAAAAATATAGTTGTTTTAGAAATCGATTGTTTGGAAATCGATAGCTTACAATTCGAATCTATTTAAAAAATCGATCTTTTTCGGAAAGAATCGACATCCCTACTGACAATAACAATAAAAAATGGCGTCAGTTTTATTGTAGGATTAGACATAAACAATGCAAGAATAATTGATTTTCAATAACTTTTTTCTCAAAAATTACGCGCTTCCGCATGTTTGTGTGTGTGCTTATAATAGTGTAACTTTTCTGTAAAAATACGTATCAACCCTCAACTCGATGGGAGTCAATGGAAAGTCGTACCTTAGTGTTTTATGCTAAAATTAACAAAATTGTACAATTATAGAATCATCACACCGCGTCTGTCTGCAACAGACGTATTACACATAAGTGATGGATATTTGGCATACTTAGGCCCGCCACATACATACGAAATTCCGTTTCGAGATTCCGTTTCGGAATTCCGAACGGGTCCGCTACACATATACGGAATCCCGTTTTGCCGCAAAATTTCGAACGGAAAACTACCGTACGTGTGGGACGGGTCATAGATTTTATATGGACTTGCTGCGTTCGGAATCTCGAATCGGAATATCGAAACGGAATCCCGAAACGGAATTCCGTATGTATGTGGCGGGCCTTAATGTTCATTCAACCAAAGACGTACCATTAGGTTCACAATTCTATTATAGACATAATCTTTAGGGAACTAAAATATAATATTCTTTTAAGGCGTGGGTACATGAAGAAACAGAACTGTTGATGTCAAATGAAAGTTCTTTATTTAAAAAAATGCGATAATCATTGTGAAGTAAAACAATTATTTTAAGGAAAATTATCATACTTTATCACTTTAACTCTTGTTATTATGTTGCTGTTTATGATCTACCTTTAATGCACGAGTGTTTATAGGTGGTATTTGATGCATGTCGTTTGTTTGAGTCGGTTGGATTCTCGGCTGAAACAGTTCGTTTTTTTTTTTCAATATACCATGGACAGTTCCACTTGTTATAAAAATAGAAGCTACTAATACTTCAGAAATTTGGTATTACGTCCAACAGCTCATACTAACTTTTCAGACCACCATACTAGGTTTTGTTAATAAAGTAAATATTTTGGCTGAAAGAGTTTTTGTACTAGGTATGTCCGTTACCGTTTAGGCCTATTAAAGTCCTATCCTTAATATAGACTTTTCCCATAGATTGCCTCATGGGGAGAATATTTGCCACAGTTGCCACACTTGTTACTTGTTGGCAACCGCAGGTTTTTCCCCCTGATTTGTTTCTCTGTCGCCTCTTACGACACCCACGGGATCATATGGGGTAATAAATATTCTTACACCGCCACTACACGGTAAATTAGGTAGGTCGCGTCATATAACTTGAATTCGCTTCTCTTCACAGTGTTCTAATGTTTGGTCGATTAATATAAACTTTGATCTAATTTACTACCATAAAGTAATATAGTCTTATAAAATAGTAATAATTTTTTTTAAATTATTTGTTTTGAATTAGTAATATAAATGACAGTCTATGTTAGTTCCACTGCTAGGTGCAAACGTCCACTCACTTCTGAGATGGTTTTAATCCAAAAGAAATGACCGCCCACACTTTTTTTATTTATTTTTTAATTAAAAATAAGTATTAAAAATATCGGACGAATAAAATTAAATAAATCATACGATAATCGTAATCTTATGATTTATTTATTTTTATATGTATTTAATAAGAAAAATTTAATCGTCCGATTATATTATAAATAAACACTTCCTTATATGAAACTGAATGATTTTTCTCAAATATTTCTGTAAGGAGTTAAATACCTTTAGGTATCTTTTCGAACCCTGAGCACTTTTTGTATCATTGTTCTACAATTGTATTGTCAAAGGGTTACGTCATTGTGTACACACAACAAACACACAATATATATTTTATTAACTTTTGTGTACCTTTTACAGAAAATCCCAGAGGGTTCTATAATTCTGCTGCATGCATGCGCGCACAACCCTACCGGTGTCGACCCGCGACCTGGCGATTGGGAACAATTGTCGAAGGTATAGTACCTATATCTTAATATTTTATATTTAACAAATACAAGGTAATCATTAATGTCTTAATTACAGTAGGTACAGTTCATTATTAAGGTTTTATATATATAATACATAATATTTATTATGCTATTACATATTATTATTTATTACAAAAAGCCTATTAAACGTATATATATATATGTGTATATATATATATATATATATATATATATATATATATATAACAAATCATATATTATATTATCTTTATATATAAAAATTACGTGTCATGTTGTTTGTCCGCGATGAACTCCGAAACCACTCACCCGAAATTTGCACACTCTGTGCAGTTTGGTCCAACTTGAGAGATAGGATAGTTTTTATCCCGAGAAGTGACCCTCAATTTTTTTTTATTGCAAATTTAAGGATTTTTATAGTACAAAGGTTCGCCGCTAAGGGCTGAACAACGTCTGCCTGGCCAGCTAGTAATTTTATAGTATACACTGTTAAATTAAATTATGACACTTACTAATGTTCCCGTCACGTCTCACGTAGCGTTCAGTAACTTACATTCAGCACAACTATACAATACGCATTTTCCATTTTGTTGTTATCATTCATCAGTTGTTATTATCATATGTATCTACTACTCGCTTAATGTCGACACTTACGGCACGGTCTCCGTAGGACCGTATGGGGCCGACTGAAAATCAGCGTCGCTATCCCGTGGCTTATGCTGAGGCGGTCCCTTCCGCCACTTCATCTGTTTCGATTAAGTTATGAATTGTTGTTATATCCTCTATTTTTTTTGTTTATTCATTTTCTTGTGTTATAATTTTTTTTATTATTTTATTCTTATTCGTATTAATTTTGTTTATTAATTTGTCATTGTAATATGAAGTGTCGAAATAAATGTAGGCCGAGTACTCGGCCTAGTTCGGGCCGAGTACTCTACCGAATACTCGGCTTTAAAAAAAACGCGGTAGCGGACGGCGTGCAGTTATTTCCCTTACAAACTAGACCCAAATAGGGCCGAAAACTAGTGTTTTTGCATCACAATCTTCCTCGCTTAAATTTTAAATATTAGTAATAATAATTTCTATTATAGATTCTTATGTACGTTCTAAATATTTCTGCTGCTTCTCATGTTCCTGATATGTTAATGTGTCTAATATAATAATAATGATAAAAACTGGCTTTTTGTCCTTATTTTTCTCTGTAATATAATTAAGGCCGAGTACTCGGTAGGTACTTGGCCGTTAATACTCGGTGTTCGGCCGAACCCTAAAAAAGACCGAATCTGCCGAGTACCGAATCCAAACCGAGTACTCGTCCCATGTCCAATGTTGTGCCATTCGACTGTTTCCTTGATTCCTTTCCTAACTACAGAATTTTCAGTTTATTTGTGGTAGTTAACGGGAATATCAGTAATGTTAATAACAATCTTTTTTTTTAAACAAAAAATGTTAAAAGTCTAATGACTATGTTGGTGATAATATCACTTTGTTATCAGATAACTATTATTTATTGTCGACTTTTATTGGATAATTTAGAATTGAAATGTTAAGACACATTGTCAAATGTAATAAAATATTTTAAACGGGCATTTTTAAGTCATATACCTTTCCCAGTATAAATAGAACAATAATAATAATAATAATAATTACAATCTGACATTCTGACATAAACACTTACCAACTGGAAATAGCATGTTGCCGAAAATATTAACTCGTAACTTTTGACGTTTTATCGCTTTGATTAGATAAAGTTTGTGGTTTTCGGCTCCATGGCAGTAGACTCGAAGTTTAAGGCTACTTGACGATAAGCGCAAGAAGACGGTTACATTTATGCCCAGAAGGTTTCATCCGGTGTCTGCAGGGTTACAAATCAGCAAGATAATTAAGACTGTAGTCCTTGAGCGTAGCAACTTCTAATAAAACACCTACGATATTTTCTAATCACACAGTTCGCAATCGAGGATAAACGTAGATGTATATGGGCCTCAGCAACCACTTACCATCAGGTAGACTGTGTGCTCGTTTGTCACTCAATTTCTACAAAAAAAAAGTTACGAGACGTTTTGTACAGCGATCATCAATCAGCCTGCCAAGCGTGACGTTTAAGCCGGATTTTCACTATACGAGTACTCTCGGACCCAGTGCGTTCACACGAGCTAGATCTTGTAGGAGTCAACTCGCTTAGGTGTGACATGTTACGAGTTTCATCAACGTCAAAGTAGCATTTAATTTATCTCCTTGTACGCGATGACGACTGATTAGCTGCTGCAAGGTATAGAAGTTGTAGCAGATATGTTAATCGCTGAAGTTCAAACTCATGAGGTTATGAATGATGAGTTGTATTGCGGCATTTCGGGCATCTTTATTTTTATATTTCGTTAGTCTTACGTTCACAAGACTTCCTCCGCTTTGTATAGTTCTACAAACCTCATTCTCATCAATCTTAGTTGACGGCATTTTGCCACCATATAATGATCCGAGTGTCCTTATAAAAATAAAACCGCGTCAGAGTCCACTCTGATCGATGCCGCTGGCGGAGTACGCTCGGATTACGTATTTACACTCTACGAGTAGTTTCCGAGTAGGCATCTGAACGCACTCGGTCCGAAAGTACCTACTCGTATGGTGAAAACCCGGCTTTAAGGCGTATCTTCCCTACAACGGGAGAGGCCCATGTCCAGTTTAGGATTGTTACGGACTATAAAAAAATAGAAGATAGAAAACACCCATGGTACCAGACCATACTGCCTTTAAAAATCCACTGCTAAATATGGGCCTCCCCCTTAGATATCCTCATAGTGGGGATTATGCCATAGTTGCCACCACCGAGCAAGTACAAAGAGGAGGAGTTGCAATTAGATAACAACGCGTGACAATTTGCGGGGTGAGGGGGTGTTAAGCCCCGCCCACTTATCTATTTTAAATCTACCGATAAATAATAAAACTACTCGCATCGTTCCGTATCAATGTTGCAATGTAGTTCAACTACCTTGACGATAGATGGCGGCCTGTTCACAGAATGATTATAAAAACTATAAAATAATATTTTGGCGATTAAAAATTCTTTAGGACTTAATGCAAAACGAATTTCTGCACCTTCGTATAATTATTTTACCAATACTGAGCTCTACGCCATCTAGTGTCGAATATATTTAATTATATTTGAAAGTCGACGCAGATATTTTCCTAGAACTATTTTAATAAATTAGGTATAAAAATACTTACAAATGAAATGTGATGCCATCCATAGCATCAGAGCGTCTATCTGAGTAGTTTTTACACGGTAAAACACAACACTTCATCGTTTTCTTCTTAATACTACGAAAATACACCGATTTGCGATTTTCGACACATAAGCACACAGGACGAATGCTGACAGTATACTAACTAAAGCCACGCCCACTGTGATGACGTCAGGACCTAGTTAGAATCACAGTGCACAGTTGCTTAGGCCGTCTCCTCTTTGTATTTGCTCCGTGGTTGCCACCCTTGGCTTAGGGTTAGCAACCACAGTTTTTTATAGTTTTGAGTTGTTATCAAGAAGATGCTGCTGCCCGTCTCCTGTTTCAGTTTTACTCTGTCACCTCTTACGGGACCATATTGTGGGGTAGTTGATATTCTTACATCGCCACTAAACGGTTATGGTACTCATTAATGCACAACTGTCGTGATAACAATCTTTAAAAAAAACCTACAACTATGAATATCTGTACCTAATATATGTATGAAACTTTTTCAATCAGACAGAAACAATCTACTAATTGTTTCTGTCTGTTTTTATTTATGTATTTTTTATGTATATTTGCCCGTTTAATCTTATGTATGTCTATCATATTTCGAATGTGTATATTAGTGTATAAAATATTTTGTTACTATGTATCGGTTTAGTTTATTTAGATATTAGTATGTAAGCTTATTATAATATACACCACTTCCCACTGTCCAATAGTACAATTTTCTTCTAATCTTAACGTTGTCTGGAAGAGATCGCTTTTTAGCGATAATACTGCCTTATTGTACCTACTTCTTAAGTTTTACTCCTTGTAATTTGTTTTTTTTTAATCGTTTTTGTGGTGTACAATAAAGTGTAAATAATAATAATAATAAAGTCTAACCAATATTATCAAAGAAAGTAAAATCCCCAGAATTCTTTGCGTGGAAGATATTTAAACAATTTCCATATTATATACACCCCTGTTTAGTCTGAATCTGAGTATCTGTTTACAGGTAATCAAGGACAAGAAGCTGTTCCCATTCTTCGACATGGCGTACCAGGGCTTCGCCACCGGTAATGTGGACAACGACGCGTTCGCAGTTCGTCACTTCGTGAAGGAAGGCCACCAGGTCATGCTCGCTCAGAGTTTTGCCAAGAACATGGGTGAGTTGAGTTGCTACAGAAGTATCTGGTCTCTGATTGCATGGCAACGTGGTTTAATTAGAGCCTTGATAGCTCAAACTGTTTGTCTTTAAATTTCATAAGTATATCAACGAACCAAGTTCGATATTTGCCGACCCCCCACTGAAATTATTAATTAAAAGTGCAATTATCTAAGTGCTGATTCACCACGTCTCGGCGTTGAATTAAAAAAATCGTGAAGAAATTTGTATCTCTTGGGTTTTTTTTTATAGGATAATACTAGTTATGTTGTGGCCGTGGAAGGAAAAGGGGAGATCTTCCACCGAGCAAGGTAATCGGCCAGGGGAGCGGCCAACGCTCCGTGTGGTAGTTCGGAGCTATTCTATATATACTGCTTTTACTTCAGAACATTGATAGCGTGATTTAGGCTTCGATGTATTTTCGCTAGTGGCGCGACGACAGCGCCGCCACGCTGTTAACATTACACTTTATTTACTTCCTTTAATAACCTAAACTAAGCTGAAAATGCCTGTACTAAGAGTGGTCGAAGCACGATTTATGAGTTTCGCGCTCAGTATCCTTAACCATTAGACTGCGGTTGCCTTAAATATATTTCGAAGATGTAATGTAGCACACTGCCCATTGTAATTGTTGTTTGAAAACTTTAATAGCGCGATTTATGCAAGTGGTTCAGAACCTTGTTTTGTAGCATATCTTGGTGGAGGCCTATGTTCAGCAGTGGACTTGTAAAGCTCTGAAATGATGATGAATAATTCTTCGTCGACGTAGTCATTCCTCATTCGTGTTGCAGCTGCAATGCAGTTGAGGTATTGTACGTAAAAAAATATTTTTTGAATCCTTACTTAATACCAATTTACGTCACACAAATTTTAAGGGTTTTCGACCCCCTGTCCCCGTCTTTGTCACAGGTGGTCACACGTGAAACCCCTCCCCCTGAGGTGACGTTACAATTTTATATTTCAGAAGTAATTAAATTAAAAAAGACCAATTCCAGAACGTTGAACGATAAACCCTATTCACAAAATGTCACATTTTGTTGCCCCCCAAAACGTGTGATGTAATTTATGGATGGTCCCTAACATATATCATCATCTTCGTAATAAACAAACTATATGCGTAAGCTAATTTTAATGTAGAATGTTTGACCTCCATTATCAAGTCTTAACCGATTTATCTACGTCAGGAGCGTTTATCTCCGAAATGGTAACTATTTTTTTCCATTAATATTATACAATTATGTTATGTAATTTCATTGTTTTTTTTTATTATTATATGTAATATTATAAACAGGTTTGATATTTGCATAGTTTATATTATACCTACCGTTTTCATAGAATGTAATAAATTCAAACAATATAAAAGTAAAGTTACTGATTATATAGATATTTTTTATAGAAATATGGTGACAAAGGAGCACACAGTCCACCTGATGGTAAGTGGTTGCTGTGGCCCATAGACATCTACATATATCCTCGTTTGCGAGTCAAAATGCAGATGCGTTGTCGGCCTTGAGGACTAAGATGGAATGCTTCTTTCCAGTAAAAAGGCTCTCTGGTTATCTACACTCACCATACGAAACACAGAAGAATTAAGCTGCTAGGTATTTTACGCTGGTATTCTGTGAGAGCGTGGTCCTTCCCCGGTCGAGCCGACCCATTCGTGCTACGAATACAAACTATACTATAAATATAGCTGCAGCTTAGCTCTACCACGTACAAGATTTGGTTATTATTGCAATAAAATGTTCCATCTCAAATCTCACGATGTTATTCTTCACCGCCGAGTACGTGGTGAATCAGCACTTAAAATTTAAATTAACAATTTCATCGGTGTAAGCGGAGACCTATTTCGGGTTGCTACCATACTAAAAGATAAAATTCCGGGCTCTAGCAATATTGTGCCTAGGTATAGAACTACTATCGATGCAAACCAAGAACAATAGTTTTAAGTCTTATAGTAAGGATTCGCATATTTTATTATTACACCTGGACCTGGTACCAGTGGTGCTTTGCCATAATTCCATAAACAAACAGAAAACGAAATAGGTGTGTTCTTTTTAGTCAAAATATTAAACAAACAAATGTATAGTCGTCGGTGATTGGTATCTTTCGATATTTAAATATTGGTGAAATATTTTAGATTATATTGGCCAATCTTATATATTATAACTAGCTATTCCCCGCGACTTCGCCCACGTGTAATAATGTATTACGATTGGGTTTCATAGGTTTAATTTTTTTTATATTAATAAATTTTCTAAAATAAATGTAGCTTATGAAAATCCTTATAATATCAATTATATGCCAGTGAAAGTCCCGTCAAAATAGGCCCAGCCTTTTCGAAGATTAGCCGGAACAAACAGACAGACAGACAAAAATTTTAAAAATTGTGTTTTGTTATAAGTACCTACTATGCATATGAAAGTATAAGTATATACGTATAAGTAAGTAAGTAGTAAGAAAGTATAAGTATACTTTCATATACATTTAGTGAAAAGCTGTTATTTTGACATTACAAACAGTCATTTTAATTTTATTTATTTGTATAGATATAACGGTCATCTTTTTCTAGTTTTGTATAATGAGTAGAAGAACCAAAATTTTTATTAAGCCAAAGCTTTATAAAAAGAGTAATTATAATATAATGTCCTACCCGTGTGGTGCCGAGTTAGAATAACACCACCCCAACTCTTCCCGTAGGTGTCGTAAAAACCGACAAAGGGACAAATCTAAGGAATGAGCAGCAGCGTACCTTATTCACACCTGGACTGCGCTCGCCGACCTGCCTGCCAAGCGTGATGAGTATGGCATTTACCCTCCTTAGTGAGGGAGGCCCATGTTCCAGCAGTGGACTGTTGTGGCTGATTTAGTGGTGATCCTCCAGACTACATTTTGGTCTCGGCGGCCCTGCTGAACGCAGATCAGCCATTTGCGCAGGATAGCTATATAGTGCCTGAGTGTGTGGGCAAGCACTTACTGGTGCACTTCATATTCCCTCACTCTCATAGTCCGATGGGACGGTAAACCGATACAACCGGTTTAGGAGATTAGATTAGGCGTAGGATCAACGACTACGTGCTTTGCGAGGCACGGAATTGAAACACCGCCAATTTCTTAACTCCGGGCTGGTACTGTAAATTTCTCGACAGGAAAACTCAATAACTGATTTTTTGGCCCGACCCGGGATTTCAACCCGGGACCTCACCGACTTCTTCACTTCAGAAGTGAACTGCAGCAGTGGATAGGCTGTATTGATTGAATATATATTGACGTCATTTTGCATAACTTTCATTCCAGGATTGTACGGCGAGCGTGCCGGTGCCCTGACGTTCTTGTGCGGCGACGCTCAGTCGGCCGCCAAGGTGATGTCTCAAGTGAAGATCATGGTCCGCACCATGTACTCAAACCCGCCGCTCTACGGCTCCCGTCTTGTCCAGGAAATCCTCACCACGCCCGAACTTAAGAAGCAATGGTAAGTCGCCTATTTAATAAAACTATTAACGGAAATCACCTAGTAGACAAAGGTTTAATATACACAAATAGTGGACGACTTAACTTGATTTTTATTGTTTCACCAAATCATGAGAAGATAAAATGTCTCGCACATGCGCGGTTCGGTTCCGTCTACTTCTGATCGTGTCCTATAACCAAATTTTCGACTTCCTACAAATACCCTGTTCACTTAAGTATAAAATTTTAAGTAAAACAGTGTATCTCAAATATTTGCGACCTCACTTTTAGAGTCTGTCTACTTGCGTTAAGACTTTGTCTGTGATATTACAAAAAAATTACTATGTATGCTGTTAACATAAACCATATTTTTTATATTATACTAGCCGGCAAACGTTGTTTTGCCATATACATTATTTCTAGGAAATATTTTTTATATATAGAATTTTATATATTAGATTTAATTTTTTATTTATTCTTATTAAAGAACTGTCTTTTAAGGAAGTCTTGTCTTATCAGTATCATCATCATCATCATTAGAGTACTTCATAAGTCCACTTCTCAACATAGGCTTCCCCCAAGGAATGCCAAAAACCACTGTTCTAAGCCATCTAGTGGCGAGACGTCCTACACTTCGTCTACCGCTACGAAGCTCTCACTCAAGAACCTTTCTTCCTCATCGGTCGGTTAGGTTTTTCGAGCTATTGCTTTTGGCCCATTGCCACTTCAGCTTGCTAATCCGTTAGGCTATGTCGGTTACTCAGGTATTACTGCAGATATCCCCATTTTTAAGTATCACGCGGAGAAACCTCGAGCAAACAGTTCACTCCATAGCTAACTGAGCGACCTTTGAGTTCCTCATACGGCCAGTAGTGAACAACCAAGTATCATATATATAAGTCATCACTGGCAACACACATTGGTTGTACAGTCTCGTTTTCAAATTTTGAAGTATACCTGACGAGAAGATGTGTCGTAATCTTGCAAACGCAAATGCTCCCCTCGCGGTTGCGTTCTGCAGGTTGTTTTTGCCCAACACCGTTCTGCATCGTGTTTGGCATTACAGGTCGGTTGATTGGGACGGAATGCGGTCTTTCTTTGCATCCTACCCATGGAGGCGAGTTTGCTTCTCGCCGGATGATCCCAGCGCTGTTGCTGATTCTGTCACCGATGTGGTGCTACAGGGAATGGAACAATTTTTTCCATCATCTGTGGTACCCATCGATGGCAGATCTCAGCCTTGGTTTGGTCGCTCCTGTAAGACTGCATTACGCAGTAAGCAGGAGTGTTATCAGGCCTGGGCTGAGGCTTCGGCGGCTCGGGATGTAAATACCAGCATGCTTAAAAAGAAGTATAACTTCTCCTCCAGGTCCTTCAAAAGAGTTATTGCCAAGGTAAAGTCAGAGCACATAGGCAGAATTGGCGAGAAACTAGTTCGCCTTCGTTCGGGAACCCGTGCATTCTGGTCTCTCGCCAAGGCTGTCCAAGGAAATGTCTGTAAGCCATCACTACCATCTCTGCACAGGGAACATGACTCACTGGCCCACGCCGCAAAAGAAAACGCCGACCTTTTAGGCTCTCTTTTTGCGTCCACCTCGACTCTTGTTGACAGGGGGAAAACACCGCCGACCATCCCGCAGTATGAGTGCTCTATGCCTGATGTGCGATTCACACAGTGCTCAGTACGCAAAGCACTCCTCTCCCTGCTCCGATTACAAGCCTATTAACGCTGGTGTTCCACAAGGCTGTGTGCTATCACCAACGCTGTTTATCCTGCGTATCAATGATATGTCGCAAACTAGTAACATTCATTGCTATGCAGACGAGAGCACTGGTGATGCCTTATATACCGGCCGTGCAAATATTTCTCGGGAAAACTTCGCCGAGTACCGGGACAAACTTGTGTCTGAAGTCGAGTCATTGCTGAACAAAGTCTCGGATTGGGGGCGACTAAATCTAGTCCAGTTCAATTCCCAGAAGACACAAGTTTGCGCGTTTACCGCTAAAAAGAACCCCTTTGTCGTATCTCCTCAGTTTCAAGGCACTCCCCTTGCTGCCTCAGCCAGTATCGGAATCCTCGGCATCGACATATCGAGTGGTGTGCAGTTTCGTGGTCACTTGGAAGAGAAGGTCAAATTGGCCTCTGAAAAGCGCGTGGCGTGCTCAGCAGAGCGGGACAATGTTTCATGCCAGGAAACCGCCTGCAACTTTACAAGGCGCAGGTTCGGCCTCACATGGAATACTGTTCCCATCTCTGGGCTCCTCAGTGCCAACTCCTTCCAATTGACCGCATCCAGCGCAGAGCGGTTCGAATCGTCGACGACCGAGCTCTTTCCGATCGGTTTGACTCACTGGCACTGCGTAGAGATGTTGCGTCTCTTTGCGTATTTTATCGCATTTACCATGGGGAGTGCTTTGAGGAATTGTTCGGACTAATTCCAGCCGCTCAATTTCACCATCGCACATCGCGACAAAACTTGCGCTACCATCCATACCACCTGGATGATTGCCGGTCCACCACTGTGCGATTTAGAAGATGTTTTCTTCCTCGCACAACTTTCTTGTGGAATCGATTATCACCAGTGATTTTTCCTGACCGATACGACTTAGGGACATTAAAGAAAAGAGCCTACTCCTTAAGACTCCGTCGATTGACCTCTCGGCCGAAGTTGGACTTACCTAGTCGGACTATTTGTCCAGGTAAACATACTCGTCAACAACTTCGAGCTTAGTGCTGCCAACACGTTTGCTGCAGCATGGCTCTACCACATTTAAACGTAGTAGAGCCATGCTGCAGCTACATTGGTAGTATAGTTGTAGCACGAATGGTTAGGCTCGACCGGGGAAGGAGCACACTCTCACAGAATACCAGCGTAAAATAACAGCTTAACACTGCTGTGTTTCGTATGGTGAGTGTAGAGAACCGGAGACCCTTTTTACTGGAAAAGGGGCATTCCATCCTAGTCCTCACGGGTGACAACGCATCTGCATTTTGATTCGCAAACGAGTATAAATATAGATGTCTATGGGCCACAGCAACCACTTACCATCAGGTGGACTGTGTGCTCGTTTGTCATCCTATCATATAAAAAAAAAACAATTACTGGCATCGGTATGACATGGACGTTACACCTTTGTTTTGTCCATGTACATCTTAAGACCTATTCGTTGAGAGATACTATTGAGGTCATTGAGCACGTGACTAGTGCTTAGGTCCACCAGCGATTCTGCCATAAGAACCGCGGACAAATCGAAGGTGAGTGATGACTCGCCATTGATGTTAATACCGTATCTTTTCCAGTTCAGTAGCTTGAAAACGTTTTCCAATGCAAATGAAGAGTTTCGGGGATAACGTCACCCTGTTGTCTTACACCTCTTTGCAGTTGCAATGGGTTTCGTACTCTGGTTCTGTACTTGGATAGCTATTGTAGTCCTACTGTAGAAACACTTCAGCGCTTCGATATACCAACAGTCAACTGAAGCTCCGCTGAAGGAATCAAAGGCTTTCTCATAGTCCACATACGCATGACAAAGTGGCAGATTATACTCTTCGGTCTTATGTACAATTTGCTGAATGGTATGTATGTGGTCTATGATAATAAAACCTGATCGGAAACTGTCTTGTTCGGGAGGCTGGAAGACGATTCGTAACGTCTCTCGAAAACGGCACTTGTCTTATCAGTAAAACATTTATTATACTGTTTCATTCTCTTTCATCAGTGTAATTTTAAATGCGAATCTCGAAGTTTTATTTTTAATAAAAGTGCAATGACAAAAGAACTTTTAGCTCACCTGATGGTAAGTGGCTACTGCAGTCTGTGGACACCTGCGGCCAACTTCAAACGAAGAAGAAGACAGATGAGTTATCACCTCTAAGGACCAGGATGGAATGCCTCGCCGCCTGTAATTTTACTGGATCCCTCATCATGAAGGTTATGATCCTGATCACAGCAATGCTATTTAGCGGTAGAAATAGGTGAGAAGGTGGTACCTACCCACACGGATTTTTTGAGATTTTTTTATTTTTTTCATTTGATTTAGTTAGAAAAATGAAGGATGCAGAAAGTAGACGAGAAGGGAAATGGACTATAATACGCTGTACATTTTATCAGGAGGTTTAAGGGAACAGACCATAAATTGGTTCTTTACAGGTACAATTAAGTGTTGCTTAAATATACTTGCAAATAATTGATAAAGGATAGTGGATATTCTTACACTGCCGCCGCACAGTTGACATTCTATATAAAAGTTAAATTTACAGCCTATATACGTTCCACTGGGCTGGGCACAGGCCTCCCCTCATTTCTGAGGGGTACATTCCATATACTAGAAGACTACAATTACACTATAGCAAAATTGCTCTACAAATCCCAAAACTATTAAAACGTATTTCTATTTCAAGGTTGGCCGACGTTAAACAGATGGCGGACCGCATCATTTCGATGCGCACGCAACTCCGCGCCGGCATCGAGGGCGCTGGCAACCCGCATCCCTGGAACCACATCACGGATCAGATTGGAATGTTTTGCTTCACTGGACTCAAGCCTGAACAGGTTACATTCATAATTTGTTTGCGTACATTATTTCTGTTAAGGCTTCTTAAACAAATGATAAATAATACATTATTTGCATTCGCTTGTCATTTATTTATTATTAAGAGAGGTATGGAATAGACTACGCTCGAAGTTTTATCTGCGTGATATAAGTGACAGTACACTCAAAATGTCTCCGAATGAATCATCGAGGCCATATAAAATATAGAACCTGGTACAATTTAAAATAGATCAGTAAGTTATCCTACTTAATATTATAAATGTGTTTGTGAGGATGTATAGATGTTTGTTACTCTTTCACGCAAAAACTACTGAATAGATTTTAATGAAACTTTACAATAATATAGCTCCAACATCAGAATAACAGCTATAATTCATAAAGATATTGTGTAAATTGGCCAAAATATAACGATAAATGTTAAGTAGGTAAGTCTGAAAAAAATCTGTCATCTGTGAGCTATTTTGGCGTAAAAACGCATGACGCAAAAACCTGTGAACCGATTTGGATGGGACTTTCACTGGCTTCACTGATGTTATAAAGAGTAACTTAGGTAATTTTATTTTAGGCTGCCGCGGAAAAATAGTTCACCCGGGCAAAGTCGCGGAGAACAGCTAGTTAGGTAGTATTCGAGCGTTAGCTTATAACATATTATGGAATGATCCACAATTACATGTTCTGATGTTGTGTGTATGCTGTGGCCCATACACCTACATCTATCCTCGATTAATAATTAGAATGCAAATGAAATGCCACCCTTGAAGACTAAGATGGAATGTTTTCATCACTAGTTATAGTGCAACTTTTTATAAATCGAAATTGAATGCACGTGGTGAATCAGCATTTAATATTGCAATTATCAATTTCAGTGGTACTGCTGATGATCGAACTTGCGTTGCTCGAGGCCTATGAAATTTTGCGCCCAGATCTTGGGTGGTAGCCTGTAACTGTAATTGTTAACAATAAAAAGGTGTATTTATGATTTTATTCTTAGCGTTTCTTTGGTAGAGCCTAATCATTCTTAATGTAGGCGTATTGACTGTATGGCTCTAGAAAACTAAATTTAATGAATTTGATGAAAAACGAAATTGATGAATTTATCTGTTACTGGACAGGGTTTTGTCGCAGTCTTAGGTGTTCAGCGACAATCTCGAGATTAAACTCTAAACTCCACATTATCACAATATGTAAGGCCTATTCGGCTGGAGTTGATAAAAAGATGGAGGGGGGGGGTTCCTAACTCATTACAAATTACGGTCCGCGAATTAGTTTTGCTGTTATATAATAGAAAAACCGCGGCGTCGGTTCGCCCGCCCGGCCTCATGGTTGACAACACCTGCGAGCCTCGTACCACAAAACTGCGATACTTAAGCGATAGTCGCAATTGGAAGACGTTTTCATAATATTTATCAACACTCACCGAACAGTCTTTAGGATATACAAAATTGGAATGTCTCGATAGCACAGTAACTCTAAGCGTTTAGCTTGTGCCATACGAGCCACAGGTTCGATTCCCGCACAGGATAAGGGTGTTGCCACACCAATCGGTAGATTGGTGCTGTAGCTTTAGCTGATCGACGGATATCGGTCGATAAAACGTTGTTCAATCATCGATCGTCAATTATAAATCGATGTGATTGGGGGCTCATCATGAGTATCTTTCAAAATGTATTCAGAATTGGACAATAGGGAGCAGTCGGTGGATGGGGGCGGGTCTTCAAATAACTAAGCAGATCGATCGACGTCGACTAGTCCATTCCACCATCGATCGATTGGTGTAGTACCACCCTAAGTATTTTTACGGCTTACAAATAATTGTTCCGAGTCTCTGTGTTTATACATATAATACAATTTAGTAAAACGTGTTCACGATACTGGAGAATTATTAAGGGTAACAGCAACTTTAAAAAATATATTGATGTGTTATATTCGTAACTACATACCTTGCAAGAAGAGGTTACTTTCTTAAATCACGACACGCCGGGTAGTTTTTATCATTATTGTCGTAGTTTGGGAACAGTTTAGTAAAAATCGCAGGCTAACCCACGTCTCTGGGGCAATATGGGAGTGAAAGGAGCTACTACACCTCTTAAAGAGAGTTTCTCATGTTGGCTCATTTCAGATCATGTGGGCAAAGTATTATCCAAAAGAAGAACAAGATCGTTGATCAATACTGCCCACAATTTAATTGCAGAGAAGTTGGCAAGAAAAGGAAAAAAATTTTTGTTTTTTTTTTCCTAGGATAAGGGTGAAGGAGATTGCTTATGGTCCGTCTTATAATTATTTTTCTTAGTATAAGTAGTTCTTCTCACACAAATAAACAGTTTTTCATGTAGTTCACTGTTGCATATCGGATATGAAAGCCAGTGATAGATAATTATATCTTTTAACAAAAAGTAAAAACCGACTTCAAACTGCTAAAAAAGATGTGATTTATTTGCTACCCTTAGGTGTGAATTTTTGTCCCAAAATTATATGGGACCACCCTTGAGGTCTAAACCTGTTTAATTAAAAAAAAATCATCAAAATTGGTTCACAATCTGGGAAGATATCGTACATACATACAAAAAAAACAGTCGAATTGAGAACCTCCTCCTGTTTGAAGTCGGTTAAACATTAATATCAAGTGACAAGTGGTAAAATTAAAAAAAATGTACAACCGACTTCAATATAAATTATTAAGGATAACTCAAAATCAGACAGTTCACACCTTGATCATATTTATATGAGAAGCATCAGCTTTCAAATAAAAATAATCATTATCTATACAATCGGTTAACCTAGGAAAAAGTTATGAGGTAACACTCATAAAGAAAACATACAGTCGAATTAAGTACCTCCCCCTATTTGAAGTCGGTTAAAATGACTTGGTCTACTACAACAGTTTCGGTCGTTTTGTAGGAAGTAAATAGGTGGGGCTTTCGTATTTAACAGGTCCTATAGATTTCCATGGTAGTGTTAGCTCATATTGCATTAAGATTAGTTATCTTCAAACGTTGGTTCATCATTTATTTGATTTCATTAAACTATTTAAAATTTCAAAATTATACATATAATTTAATTGTTTCCAGGTGGAACGCCTCACCAAAGAATTCCACATTTACTTAACCAAGGACGGACGCATCTCCGTCGCCGGCATTTCCTCTAAGAATGTCAACTATGTCGCTGAAGCAATCCACAAGGTGACGGCTTAAACGACATATCGAATATTATTAGTTAAACTGCCATAAGTGATAACTTAACACATTCAGTAAATCAGATAATTGCAGTATTTATTCAGATGTTAATCAATGTGCACATTAGTCGACTATGAGTCTTGTATTTGATTGTTTCGATTATTTTATTTTTTATATACACATGTGTTACTAGAGTTAAATATAAATTAAATTTTTATTGACGATTTTTATTTGTATCCTCTCAATATGATACAGTTTTAGGGATGATTGATGATGATACATAATGTACGATTATAAGAAACTACGTAGTATAGATAAACTGTTTATTGTTAAAATATAGATAAAATAAACCTGATGCCAAAACACAGAAATTGTATTAACATTATTCAGTGATTCTATGACGGAACTAGTTCTACGCAAAATATTTACAGCTGACAAACAAATTAATGGCTTATCTATGATTAAAAAAATGATGCAGGTCAATCGTTAACATTGCTTTAAAGAATATTTTATCACTTTACAAATTCCCTTTGAGGGCATAGCTTATTTATAATGAGAACACATATCGTCCACAATTTCATGACAATCTTAAACATATTCACCTGCATCTATGTCCAAAAATGTATTAAAATATTGAACTAAACTATAATTTATGTAGAACATACATAACACATCCAAAAAATGTGTATTATCTATAATTCTATCACTTTATTATAATACAATACATATTTGTATATGATGACAATTGTCATTGATATAAACATCTATGCTAATATTTACATAATTTGTCATAGAGAATAAACTATTACACTATTCATGGCACTATTTCATCGGAATGCAAAAACATTCCTCTGAATATAAGAAATATGTACCATTATCATCGAAACATACTGGCCTTACCAGATGTGTTTCAAATTGAGACTAAAACAAAATTTAAACATTATTCTCGATTTTCATCAGTAATAACTTTCATGCCCGTGTAAGTGCAGTACAAAACAATTACATAACTGCATTTTTATTTGTTTTTGGTTTTGATATTGGCGTGATAAGTCTTAAGAGCGATTTTGTCATCCTTTCTATAATTTAAGGCGATATTTCTTCGATGCATATATTATAGTATTCTATTTTATTACGTACTAGGAACGTCATTTACAAGCACTGAGATATTTAGACATTGACAAGAGTTTAAATATATATATATATATATATATATATATATATATATATATATATATATATATATATATATATATATATATATATATAATTTATATTTGTAAAAATAAATTAGTTGCAGGTATACATCTCTAATAAACTATGTTTTCAATGAATATTCAAGTTTACGTAACAATACCTCTATAAAAAAAAATATCAACGAGCCTTATAGTAGTCGCATATGATGTGTAACATCTAACATCTCACTTCGATAATAACCAACATTAACGTTATATCTTGAAAAAGCCGTTTTATTTATCAAAATTAAAAATGTCAATTGATCCGCGACAGAAAATAACCTCAAATTTTAAAAAATCTAAATACTGACATATTTGTTTGAATAATTATTCACTATTATTGTTACTCAATTGCATTTTTTATCAATGTTCTGCACTTTTTTCAGACACTTATTATCAACAGAAAATACATTTATTAATATAATTTACAGATATAAATTAGTTTGTATAACAGCAGACTTTATTACCACAGCGCGCGCTCATTAATCAATCAAATAACACGTGCTTCCCCGGCTTCCTGTTACATACTTCCGTCCCTTTTCACGAAATCACTCCCACAGACTGCAGGAAAGCGAGAGGAAAGATGTTACACATCAAAAAGTTATTATTTACAACTACCATAAGTGAAAAACAAACTTTATTTCTTTTTCAAGCATTGTACTGGTCTATTTGCGTACATCAACAATAACAAGTTTTTCGTCTATAAATTTACAAAGTTCTATAATTATATTATCTAAATTTGTGTACTTCTACAAGTACACATGATATGTACGGTTTACATACATGTTTTATTAAAAATAAATAAGTTTAGTAAACAAGAAATTTCAAGATGTATGAGATAATATGAAAGTTAAAAACTGGCTGAAAACATCCAAATAAACTACTTATTTGTGCCAAGCCGTTGTGAGTATCCCAGCCGTGAACATGTCAATATAAAATGGCCTGTTCATAACACGTTAAAAAGTGCATTCAGTAACTATGGTAAATTATATTAAGTAACTGCTTATACACCCATATTTTGTAGTTACAAAAAAATAAGTGTCTGTTATTGAACACATTTAGGTAGAAAAAACTTTAAAATAATTAATTAAAAAAAGATATCTCTAAAAATGCATAATAATTAGTTACTCTAATTCGATCCATTCATAAATCGCTTACTGTCTCGCTCACGCGCCGGCCGGCATTCGTTTCGTGAGCCGTTGAAGTAAGCAAGAGAATACGACGAGTGAGAAAGGAGTCGTGACGTAGGGTACTGTATTAATGGTGGGAGATGGAACGGGAGCGTTTTGTAAATGGAGTGTGTAAGTTATTGACTTGTGTAGTACTTTCTAGTACTGTGCCAATAAAATTACGCCAGTTTTCGGATAAAAACAAACCTCGATAACATGGTATAGATAAATAATAAAAATTCTGACAGTGCCATTATCAATAGAACATCTGCTGCAACTGTCCTTAAATTTTTTGGTGCTTACAAAATAGTGGTGTATATTTTTATCAAGATGCCATGATAAATGGTTCCGAATACGAATTTGATTACAGAATTGATGCGCCTTTTTTAATTGAGGGTAGAAGTGCTTGCACGGTTTACAAATAATCACAACAGAGGTCATGATCATTAGACAATTATGTCTTTGATTAACAACTTAAATTTACAAACTTAATCCATCGTGTCCATACCTTTTAATCTTTACAAACAATACACATTTCTAGCAATAAACATGTACAATAATTTCGTATGGCATTTCGGACAGTTTAAAATTTAAATAGCTACTTCTATTAACCTGATGGTAGTGGTAGATTGCTAACTTATAAAAACTCCAGTACTAGCCTATAGAATCCAAAAACTACTACTACAAGCACGGCGTTCGTCAATGCACGGGAACGTTTTCATATTAAATTATACATAATTACTATTTCATGCCACGTCGTTGGTCTGGTTGTAGAAAGGCGAAGTATAAAATAAGATCCATTTTATCATTTGAAAAATGTGAAAGCAGTGAGTTACTATAACATTGCTAAAACTAAAATATTGCTATTATAAAGGCAACAAACACATACGTACGTACACAAAACATGTAAATATAAAGCTATAGTGGATTGAATCAGTATGGAAAACGGGTTCGTGTATACTTCCAATTTATAGATAAACTTTCTAGCGAGTATTGCAAGCATACAAACTTGGGTCTTGAGAATACACCATAATATGATAATTATTATATGAAATAAGAAGAATATTGATACGTTAGTCGTCGGTGTGCTAATTTTACTAAAGCAGATGTCAACATTCGTAACAGTAATGGCCAAAGATTAAACTCTGGGGTGTACAGTAAAAATTGAATTTCTCTGAAGTCTGAAAAATGCATTTCCAGTTTCATTTTTTTTTCTTATCGCATTAGCACTCATGGATAGTGCTCAAATTCAATTTCGATTTGGAGTAAAAATAATTACAATAACTGCTAATTAGCGTTATCGATAGTAATGCGGCGCATAATTAATAAGTTTTATACGCGGTAGAGCCATGCTGCAGCTATATTTTGATTGTAGTACGAATGGGTCGGTTCGACTGGAGAAGGACCATGCTCTCACAGAATATCAGCGTACAATAAGAGTTTAATACTTCTTAGTTTCGTATGGTGAATGTAGCAAACCGGAAACCTTTTTTACTGGTAGCGAGGCATTCCATCTTAGTCCTCAGGGGTGATTACGAATCTTGATTTCCGAGGTTGACAGTAGAAGTCTATGCCCGAAGCATCCACTTACCATCATGTGTGCTCGTTTGTCACCCATTTTATGGTTTACTCGTTTTATTGCCACGACTACCGCGAACGTTGGCGTCTTCTATAGACTTAATATTACAGTTTGAGGCGCAGGTATATCTAAACTATATCTATTTTTTATGTTTTTATGGTTTTTCCTTATCAATTTCCCCAAAGACATAATATCAAATTTTTTTGGAACATTTCTATATTTTTGGAAAACAATAAATTGTATTGCATTTAGAGGTAATACTGTTACCAAACGCTATCTTATTGCATTATATCACTCTCTATTCATAACAAGTTGAAGATGAATAGGTTTCTTTCTAACCAAAACATCACTGTAACAAACGTGTTTAAAATCGCCCACAAAAGATAATCATCGGGGTTAGCCAAGATGGCTTCTTCGATCTACAGCGCTATTACAGAAAACTATATAAAAAATGAATGACATCTGAACATGATCACGTGACATTGTCATCTTTGCTAACCCTGCAGTGGTGCTATTAATTACAACAAATTATAGGCTGATGGGCATCTTTATAAGAATTATAGGTCTCTAACATTTTTATAACGTCACCATAGCATCACTTCCATAAACCATTTCTGGGACCATTACTGTGAGTAGGGCGACGAGCGCTGCGAAAAAAAAAATTATATAAAAGAGCAAGAAGCTCTCACTCAAGAGCAATGTTGTTTTAAAGTACAGATATGTTACATTAAGAAATCGCAATATCAGAAATCTACATGTTACCATCACCAATGCGCCTGCTAAGCGAAGTTATTACGGCGATTCCTTCATATATTAAGAGAGCCATGCCCCGCGGTGTCTGTGACGAGCTAATGAAGAATCTTGGTGTGCAACAGCAACACAAATGAATCTACTATACTTGACAACAAAATCATAATATTTAACAGATCTCACTCATTAGCTCTTCATTCTGTCATGAACTTACGGGTGCAATACATACACCAGAAACAGAAACAGAAACCACCTTACTTCAAGACATCATTTCTCGACACGAAGAAAGGTTGTTTCGGGTTATATGTTCACACATAATAAAGTTCTTTTCTTTAAAATAGATTACCATTATATGTAACATAAAATTACAACCCAAATGATACCACAGTTTAAAGCAAAATAATATCTTACTCTACTTACAAAGTAATTCATAATTTCAACATAGTAAAACATTCGACATCTCTAATTTGTGCGTTACAGCATATTATTAACATATATATCAAATGTAATATTATGGGTTAGAAAACAGAAAACTTAAGTGTTAATGAGTAAGATATGAAACTTTAACTAGAACTTTAATATTACACTTGGTGACGAAAAATCCACACAATTAGAAATTTTATTTACAATTACTTAAAACTTAAAAACATTATTCAAACTATTATCTCCTTATAAAGGATAAATGTTTATTACATACCTAATTAATACAATCAGGCGTTACTTTTCGGCAATCCATCATATTAAAGATGTTGAAAAATTAATTTGAGCGCCGAGTTTATATCACCTAAAGATGCCCCGTTTAGAGGCGAAACACGTGTGGTATTATTGGCTGTGGTGTGCCTTTTGTGGTGTAGTGGTGTTGGGATTAGTGGTGATGGGGATAATGCACGCCATTGAGGGAAGACGGAAAGTGCTCTTCAAACTAAGTAAAACATCATTTTACTTTATTACGCGGATCTTGGCTAATGGGGGCTAATCATTTTCTGCTCACCAGATGTCGCTAGTTGACACTGAGGTAAAGTTTTTTGTTACACAATGTCATTGAGAAATTAGTTTTTAGAGTATTATATTAATACACAAAACAATGCCTCAGTGGTTTGATCTTCAATTTTTTGCACATTTTCAACTTTTCTAAATGTTTCTACTTTTATGAATATCTGCGGTTTGGTTTAGTTATTTTTAATCTTATTAATATAAAATATACCTAATAGTACAGAAAGAAACAATAACTTTTACATTTTTCGAACAAATTAACTAACCCGCTATGAAAACTGTCAAATATTATACCTCACTTATAAGTGGCGCCACCCTGGTGGCAGAAAAAGTCGTGGATGCCCTCATTAATTGATGCCATCTTTAATTTATGTTTTTTAGAGTTTGATGATTACATTAAATTGTTGCATACTTAAAATATGTATTTAGTTTTCATAAAATAGTAGTACCTAATGTAATAACCAGCAGGAGATGGAGAGCAGCATCTCCTGATAACAAAGCAAAATTATAAAAAAGCTGTGGTTGCTGCGGTTGCTAATTCGCCGGCCAGGCGCTGCAACTATGGGAAATATCGATTTTTTTTAAAACTCGATTTACACATTTGCACAAGAAGTTCTAGAAAAGTACCTTGAATAAAGACCCATCAAGGGTTTACATATGGTCCGAATAAACATAAGAAAAATACTTTTAGTATTTGCCCAGAATATACTCCAATTGTTGGATGCTGCCTTAGAATTTGTCAATTGCATTACTAATTTCTTCTATACAAGATTTATGTACTCTGTAATTTAGAATCAGAGCCAGCTCTTTCGCAAGATAAGTATTAAAAGTAGTTTTAAAACTGTGGCATAAGTAATTAAATTTAAACGTTATAGATACATAGAATATCGCAAATTTACGAAAAGCATTATTGTATTTACATTAGTGTAATCAATACAGGTAATTTATACACGGTCATGTATTTTGAGCACATATTAAGGCAAAATTATCGGTAACTTGTCAAGTCATTTCTATTGGCGATACATGATATATGAATATACAATGCTTGCAGGATAAGAATAGGATTGGTTTTACAGATAACTTCACTCCCTAAACAAAATTTTTCATGACAACAAAAGCATGACGTGACACCATTTAGAAATGATAGTATTAAGTGTCTTATTCACGGTCCATCTTGTTGTACGTCCCACCAAGTTCATACACGACGCACGACGCAAAATGGCAAGGAGCAGGCTTGACGTACGGCAATAATTGCGTTACGTCAACGCCTATTCATTATCGTTTCGCATCGTGCGTCGTGCATGACCTTGGCAGGACGTACAGCAAGATGGATCGTGAATAAGACGCTTTATTTTTAATGTGTTCACGTCATAAAATAAAAATAAATATTTACTATATGATTTTTTTACACCACACACAACAAACTTGAAGTTATTGTAATGGAAAATTTGACAGTCCTATTCTTATCTGGCGCGCTTATTAATTTCGCCTTAAATTTCTACTGAACCCTAATAATACTTTAAAGCATATATAAAGCAAAAACGTTTGTTAGTCTTAGATTAAGATTTATTGACTTCTTGTACGCTCTTAAAACATTAAAATTTTGTTTTCGACTCTTGGGAATTGATGTACAAAAATATGTCGTCTTAATTATTAAAACATTTCATCACAAGAGATATTAACAGAATTATGCCTAATTCGAACACGCCGCCATCACTTTAGCCTCTTTATCGATTACTTTTATCCATTCTCGAGTAACAATAACTTATATACAAACATGTCCTCACCCTCACCATTTTAACAGTGTTCTGCCACAAACCACACCCACAATGTCCTAACAACACAATTCAGAAATTCGAACTAATTCTAATTGCAGACTATACATTTTCAATATGTTTTCTATCGTCCATTTGAAACGAATTTATTGCTCATTGTTTATTTAAAGGCAAACTTTCACTTACAGTTTGTGAGTCTGTAGAATTAACAGAGTCCTCACATAATAACCGACTGAGTTGGTCGTCAAGCACGTCAGTCCGTCGGCCCTCACGTTTGTTAGACGAGAACACATCGTCGCCCACCAACATACCTTCATCTAAATAAGAAAACGCGTCCAAATTTATTTCTGATGGTGTAATAGCTGTGCTGTATATATCTATACGCTTCTGCTGCGACTTCGCTTCTGCTACTTTTTCCGAGAGCTTCGCCTTCGCCTTTGTTAATGCCTCAGACTCAGATTTGTCGAGTTTGATGTCGCACTCTTTTAACTTTTCGGACATTTTCGACCTGAGCGCGAAGGATGAGTCGTTGCTCGAAGAACCCTCATCCTGCAATTGACTTAGTAATGTCCTCGTTGTAAGGGACAGTGCACCCGCCCCGATGTACATTTCGTTGCGATCCCCTAAAAATAGCACGATTATTAAAGCATCGCCCGTAAAAAACGACACCGTATGTTAAGAACAAAACTTACCGCTAGGTGTCGCCCGTTGTATACTTTCCTGGGCGGAACTTTTGCTTTTCGATTTGTGAGTGTCCACACTGTACTCACTTTCGCTGTCACTGGACATGCCAAGATCTAAATGCAAGGAGTTTAGTTTGTCGTCCTCATCTTTATCTTTTCTCGAGACGGTTTCCAATTCCATCTCCCAGTCTGTGACACTTGATGAATCTTTGATGCCTTCTGTGCTTTTTTCGAAAGTTTTACTCTCTTTATGCATCACCGTTAGGTCACTTTCTACAAGCGGTACCATATCGCCTATACTTTCAGCCGTGGAGTCTAAACTGTTCGGAGTACATGTCTCTTCTGTTAATGGACTTTCGAAAAGTACTGGTGTGTCTTGTGTGATTTCTTGATGAGATATATTTTTGAGTTCTGTTGCACGTGGTATATTCGCGCCGCGACTATCTAATATCTCTGACATTGTTGTTGTGCGTCCTGTCTGTTCGTTGTTTAGTTCTAACACTATTACATTTCCAGCGCATTTGTCCGCATCAACTTGATCAGGTTTTGATGCTTGTAAAAGTTGATTGACATTTTTACCCATGATTATTTTAGACATATCATTACCATTCTTTGTAAAAGTTAGTGCTTTTCCAATCGTACTACCTTTCTGCACAACTATTACGCTACCTTTGGAGCTCACTGGTCGGACAATAGGATTAGTAATTTTAGGAGTAGATACAGGTGCGAGTCCTTTAACCGGAACTATATCGGCTAAATTCGCCGTTTTGATTGGCTCGACGCCTACAATTTTCGCATTGGAAGGTATTGTATTAACTACAGCAGGTTTTGACACTACTGTGCCAACACACGACTTTGTTACTTGCGTGATTGATTGCGAACTAACAGGTACTAATTTCATCGCTGTAGGTATCCCTTTAAAGTGTAATAAAGGAACTTGGCCCTCGCCAATGGGTTTAGTTCTGCCCTTAGCGGGCAACACGACCATTTTCTGTCCCGATTTCGGATTTAAAACAAAAGTTTTTGCAGAGACTTTCAAATCTGTGGCAGGGATGCCTTTAGGAGTGAAAGTTTCCGAGGGTTTGGATGATATATTACTTGTGCTGATTGCTACACTTTCTTTATTGTGCATGGTTGGGGTTGAGGAGCTAAGGATTATTTTAGAATTTGTAAGGATTTTGTTCTCCATTGCTGGTTTAGACACTACAATCATTTTTTCTGTCACTACTGGCGTACTTGTAGTTCGAGATTTAGAGGCAGAACCTATAACTTTGGTGGTAACAAGTTTTCCTGTGTTCAAGGCTTTTTGAGCCGAGCTTGGCGCTACAACTACTTGTCTATTTGAGAGAAGCTTTACGCCGTCGGAGGGTTTCTGTAGTATTTTAAATTCTGACATTTGTACTTTTTTATCGGAAGTTACATCGCCACGTTTCTTGATGATGAGATGGCAAGGCTTCCCGGTACCAGTTTGATTTGACGCTGGCATACTTTGAGCTTGTAATGAGCTTGAATCATCCGGGTGTGCATTATCAGAAACCCCCAATTCATGAGGTACGGTAGTCGGTTGAGTAAGCAGTTGTAATGTCGGTGAATCTGTCACCATTCCTGGAGATGACATCACTTTAGGTTTGGTTTCGTCTACGAAATCCGGTTTGAGTTTAGTGCCTAAAACTGTTTGAGCGTATGTAGCTTGAAACGAGTTTGGTGGTCCACTATACTCTAACTGTTGTGAGCTGGGATTATAATGCTTGCTGGGTGACATTTGTAATTCCTGTGATTTCCTTTGAGCTTTTGACTTTGTGTGCGCCGCGCCCTTTGTACTTTGTTTATGTGATCTGTGTTTGTGCTGCGTTCGAGATGTAGTTTTGTTAGGGATGTTAGATGGATTTGATTTACTCGTCGATACTTTGCTTACTTGATTATACGAGTGTTTAGATTGACTGGAAGGTTTACCTGCAAAATAGACAACATATTTAGAATATATTACACTACCTCCCACCTCATGCTTACTTTAATCTCCTTTGAATTATTATGTGGCAAATATCTCTACACTCAATTACTAAAAAGCTAAATAAAAAAAAGTATAAAAATGGTATTGACATTGTTCATCTAGACCGAAAAGTAAATCGTGTGTAGTTCCAGTGTAAAATTCTCTAAATGAAAAGGCTTTATGGATTAAAAAAAAGTCAGATCTGGTGAAAAAATATATACACCAATGAAAATAATCCACAAATTTTGTTAAGGAAGCTCCTCTGTCCTAAGTCGGTTAAAACCGCACATTAATGTGAAAAAGTATATTTAACTTTTTTATAGATAGTATTAAATAAACTAACTTGATGCTGGTTGGGAAAACTTAGAGTATATCTGTGATAAATTAAGGTGTTTCTGGTTAGTGTTCACAGGTATATTCCTCATGTTTTTAACTGGAGTAGTCCCGTCTTCTGGAATTGCACCACCTTCTGGAACTTTTCTCTTACGACAAATGAGTTCAGTTTCCCATAGCTGTGAATAAAAAGTTATATTTATTTACAGTGAGAGAAAACATGAATTTAAAAATATTGCAATGAAATATTACTTTCGCTGTTTCATCTTCCATAGCTATAGGTGGATATAGTAATTCATCTATTTCTTCATTTGTTGAAAGGGCTCCCTCGGCTGTTTGACCTTCAGCCTCTGAAATCTCTTCCTCGTTTGATTTAGGTGTAATAAGTTTTTCATTCTCAAGTTTCTTTTGGAGTTCTTTGTTCTCAGCTGCAGCTGCATCAGCAGCTCTATCCGCAATCTCTGTATAAGCAGTCTGTGGAATACCACGGGGCAAGAGAGGGACACGTCTCCTGCCTTCCCTGATCCATGCTAATCCTGTGTTAGGGCCAGCTAACCTAAAAATAACAATTTAATATAAACTAATTTTTATTTTATGAAATTATAATTATTTTCATCTTAAGAACATTTACAATAAAATAGAAATTATGATACCTTATCTCTTCCCAGGAATATAAAATTAATGTAAATAAGGGAAATGACTGAAAAAACTAAACATTGAGAGTTCCACTTATTTTAGAATTAATTGCCTCCATAACAATGTCATACACTTCAGCTCCAACAATATACAAAATATCCTGCTGCATATTAATGATCTGTTTATTCTCGGTATCTATGGGTATGCAGACAACAGCACAGGTCGAAACTAGCAGAATGCTCAGGTCAGTTGGAATCAAATCCAGTTTGAAAGTTTCTCACTGCATTCTCCAAATGGGGCGATGCCAAACTCGTGAGATTCAATGATTTGCTGTGAAAAGACACATGAGTGTGTCTTTTTAGAGTTAAAAGGAGTCCGCTCACCATGGCTCTTACTTCCTGGAATGTATCTTTGGGTGTGTACAGATCAAGTAACATGTTGTATAAGTTTTGTGTTATAACACGTCCACATTATGTAACATTGTTTTTCAACATGTAACATATAACAATACTGTACACATTAGAATAACAATGCAATATAACAATGTTATATGACATAGTCGTATGTCGTTTGTCGTTCTGCCATTCGAGTTATATAATATTCGTGTCACTTCATATAACACGTTTTATAACATTAAGCCTCAACATTACTGAATGCATGTTATTTACAACGTTTTATAACAATTTATGTTATATAATGTGTACGCACCGTTTGAAGTACACTGACCGCTTACTGTTGTTAGGGTTTAAGATTTTTCGGACCCTCAACTAAGGGCGGTTCATTGAGTCTGGGGCTAAAGCAGCCGCAAGGAAACTAGTTGTCCTTGCAAGGGTGCGGCGGTACTTCACGCCAGGCCAGCTTCTTAACTTATATAAAGTGCAAGTTCGGTCATGCATGAAGTACTGCTGTCACATATGGGCTGGTGCTGCAAAATGCCATCTAGCAGTGTTGAACTCAGTGGAGAGACATGCTAAGAGGCTCATTGGCAACCTCGACTTATTTCAAACCAATCTTGTTAGCCTCGAGCACAGGTGCAGAGTAGCCAGACTCTCAGTATTTTATAGGATGCATTTCAGGGAGTGTGCGCAGGAATTATATGCTTTAATTCCTCCCACTCCTTTCCACCATTGGACAATCAAGTGGCCGGCGGGTTTTCACCCCTTTGTTGTCGATATTCCAGAGTTAGAACCAAACGGTTTGCTTCATCTTTCATAATGCATACAGTAAAGGAGTGAAATATCTATCTTTCCTTCCGAATACAATCTGTGCATCTTCATGTCAAGAGTAAATAGGCTTTTTTTATGCTAAGACAGTACGATTTACCATCTAGGGCAGGGATTTTTTTTAATAGGATAAGGGTGACAAACGAGCACACAGTCCACCTGATGGTAAGTGGTTGCTGCGACCCATAGACATCTACATCTATCCTCTATTACAAATCAAAATGTAGATGCGTTGTCATCCGTGAGGACTAAGATGGAATACCTCATTTCCAGTAAAAAGGGCCTCCGGCCACCTGCACTCACCAAGCGAAACGCAGAGGTAAACCTCTATTTCACGCTGGTTTTCTGTGAGGTCATGGTACCACCCCGATTCGAGCCGGCCCATCCATTCAACAGCAAAAGCTGCCGCGTGGCTCTACCACTGTTTGAACTGTTTGATTCTCAACCTTTTTTTGACCAGTTTAATTTCTTTGTTGTTAGCAGGGACCACAAAGTGAAATAAAAAACTATGATAATCTAACAATAAATTTTAATCACTACTTTTAACATAATTATACAATAAACTGAAAAGAAGCTCATTCACAGTATTATGTATTTGTGTATTTATTGTAAAATAAATCATACATGTTTGCTAAAAACTTGCGATTTTGATTGTGATGTGAAGTGTGGTGTTGCACAACCAGCTTAACGAGAAAATAATAAATGAGTAATTTTAAAACAATTAGGTAGGTAAAATATTTAAATATTTAGCTCTTGTGGACCACTAGTGGTCCATGGACCACTGGACTGAATCACTGATCTAGATCTTCGTCACCACTTACCACCAGGTGGGAATGCAGTCAAGCACTGCCTTATAATAAGTAAAAAAAAAGGAAAATAAAGCTGACCAAATACTCCTAATATTATAGTCTATTAAAGCTAATAATATTTTAATTGTACTCATGAGGACATCGAGGCTGTAAGAAATATTAAGAATAGATTTTAAACAATTTATTGCTATCGGACCATACCCAAATCTCCGAGCTAGGCAACCAGAAGAGACAACTGCAGCTTGGACACTTATAAAAACTGACAAAACCAGTCCAGTTTTCAAATAGGAAACAGGCAATATGAGATGATGATTGCATCAATTTTTCATAGGTATAATCAGACCAAGCTGTAGTAGCCATTCTTGGTTACAAAGCTCAGTCTTTCGGACACAAATCACTTCTGTAAAAGCCAAATAAAATGTAAGTTTTTGTTAGAAGAAGACTGAATGGAACAGAACAATTTAAAAGTACTATCCGATAATAATATATAATAAAAAGTAATATACGATATATACTATATATCAAAATGTCTGTTTATGATCTTCAATTTATTTTATTTCTAAAATATTTCACAGATTTTTTTTATTTTCTTGTTAAAATGTGATGTTAACAAAATTATGTAATAAATCATTAAATCTGTTATGCAAGGGGTATTTCCACAGATTATAATATAATAGAGTATTGAATGTCTGGTGGTGCGATTGTCAATCTGTCTACCAAACATGATAATTAAGGTAAATTCCTACAGTGGGTAAAGCTCATGCACAGCAGTGGACTTTCACCAGCTGATGAAAAAGAATAATCAACTAGAAATAATATATACAATAATTATCTCTTAATAAAAAGTAAAATCAGGATTCAAGGAATTAAAAAGAATAAAATAATTTTATGTCACTTCAGAAGTCAGGGTTTTATTTTTTCTACACATTGTCTTAGCACCGAGTTTAGAATGTGAAATTATTTAATTCTTTGATTTAGCCTTTAGCCTTTTACTTTTTATTAAAACATAATATTATTGTAATAATTTTAAATTTACAAAACTTATTTTATATGTTATTTATATCCATTCTGATATAACTAGTTATTCTCAGTATATTTTTTTAAATCTTACAAATTTAAATTAATTTTTAAGTGAGTATTTTAAAGAGTATGGGGTAGGAATAGACAACAGACAGATCAGATTCTAAATTAATAGCTTCACACATCCTACAAGTAAAAACTTTCAAAGGACATAGTTAGGCTATATCTGAATATAATGTGCAGTCAGTCATGCTTTTTAAGTTAGTGCACAAAAGGTATATAAATATGCTCTATAAAACTTCATATCATTTGATATCTCATTGTGAAGTTCAAAAAAAGCAAAAGATTCAATGAATTATTATTTGTCAATTATTTTCTAACAGGTTATCTGTCAAACTAAAAGTATATAAAAAATTAAACTTAAAAATTTTCCATTTCAATACTCATACTTAACTCAATAATTATCCATAATTAACATATGCTCTCAGTGAAGATCATATCCACAAGAATGTATAATGAAAAAAAAGAGACAGTTTTAAATGTCAAAAATATTAAAAATCTTATAAGAAATCACATTTAAAATTAAATATTAACATATAAAATATATCTTATACCACATATTCAATTGTACAAAGAATATCTGCCATCTTTGACTTAAGGCAGCATTGTTTAAAAATAAATCAAGAGTACAAACAAAACTTAAGGATATTTAACTTACTGTTCTGCAATAGTTGCTAATAACTCGTCATTAGACACGCGACGCGCCTCTGCGCTGTGCCGATCATTGGTTATATGTAAAACGGTGCGGAGCTCCTCAAGCAACTTTTTTCTATTCTCTTCCAGAGCCCCCTGTGCTCTTAACACACTGATCATTTTCGAGTAGGCTTCTAATTCTATAAATAAACGGATCACATATATTATAGCAATCATTTTTGTCGTAATACTGCAGTTAAAATCATTTTAACTAAATAAGCTTATAATCAGAAAATCATAGGAGGGAAAATGAATGCCATTCAATAAGACTAAATATATACCGAGTCTCCTAAGCGTCTGGCGACATTCGTCGCGTGTCATATTTAACAACATAGGCCACATGTTTTAGTCTTCCAATTGAACACTAATTGGTCACTAATTGAATATATTATTTAGACCATAATTTTATTGAATACTATACTAGCAAATATCCATACTGTTTACTTCAAACGACAATTCGATCACAGTTCATTTTGACATTTCAAAGTAGAGATGCGAAAATATAACGGATGGTTTAAATTTTGTCTGTGGTTGAGGTATACCATAACCTACTTAATATTTTTTCTTAGATTTATTGTATTATCAAATCTAAGGTTAATATTTGATTTTATTCAAACTCTAAATGACGATGAAAATATTATATTTAATAGTAAATCAAAACAGATTAAAGTCTCGTAACAATAAAACATTTTTTTTCACTTATTATAAGCCAGTGCTTGACCACAATCCCACCTGGTGGTAAGTGGTGATGCAGCCTTAGATGGTAAATCGCACTATCTTATCGTAACAAAAGTCTATTCACTCTTGCCTTGAAGACGCCTAGATTGTATTCGGACGGAAAGATTATTCCACTCCTTTGCTGTACACATTACAAAAGACGAAGCAAACCGTTTGGTTCTAATGCGTGGAATATCGACAACAAAGGGATGAAGACCCGCCGATCGTTTGGTTGTCCGATGGTGGAAAGGAGAGGGAGGAATTAAGGTGTGTAATTCCTGCACACACTCTCCGAAATGCATCCTATAGAATACCGAGAGACTGGCTACTCTGCGCCTGTGCTCGAGGCTGACAAGATTGGTTTCAACCAAATCAAGGTCACCAATGAGCCACTTAGCATGTCTCTCCACTGAGTCCAATGCTGCCAGGTGGCATTTTGCAGCACCAGCCCATATGTGACAGCAGTACTCCATGCACGACCGGACTTGCGCTTTATATAAGGTAAGAAGCTGCCCCGGCGTGAAGTACCGCCGCACCCTTGCAAGGACACCAAGTTTCTTTGCGGCTGCTTTGGGTCTGGACTCAATGAACCGCCCATAGTTTAGGTTCAGAGGAAATCAATTCCCTAACAACTGAAGGCGGTCAGTGTACTCCAAGAATACATTCCGGAAAGTAGGAGCCAAGGTGAGCGGCCTCCTTTAAGCGGTAAAAAGACACGCTTGTGTTTTGGAGGCGTTAAACATATTGTTTTAAAATTCCATCATTTTATATAATAATTACACACATGTATTTGATATTTGTTTTGCATAATTCAACGGATATATTTGCTAAAATTCTAGAAGAAAATGTAAGCTCTTGTATTATAGACTCTTTTTATTTTAATTAAAGTCATGAGTTTAAATTTTTCATTTATGACCTCTTTGGCGAATTCTTAACAAACCACCACAAAAGACGAGTTTTATAAGGAACTTAACCACCAGCAAATTGTGCTACTGTATTGGTAAATATGATATCGTTTATGTAATGGTTTGAAGTGGGTTTTGATACTTACGAATGGTGCTTTTTTGTGTATTAAATATCTTCACATGTGCAGTATTAAAGAAAACGATGCAAAATTGCTTCAATGGTGACATAAATCTAAATTTTTAATACGCATGGGTGGCCTATCGTCATCATATTATATTATTGTTGGGTTAAGCTGTCATCCAAATATTCAAAAAATGTTGCAAAGTGACATCTCATTATATTATGAAGAATTTGGTCAGTTAAATGCACATTAAGTTAGACAGTAAGGTCCAAAAGTATTTCCTGCTTGAAATAAAACAATAAACGTGTTATCAACGGATATTTTATTAATCATCGACACCTATATAGTAAATTATACTATACATATATGATTACTAGGTTTACATATACTTTAGAATTAATAATAAGATTTGTGAGTAACCGTAACAGCGTTAAACTCTATAAAAGGAACTGTTATATCTTAGCGGTGGTACAGTCGTGAGTTCATTGTGTACAAGTGCGTCACTAGGAGAGTGTACTTTAAAGAGTAGCTGTATGTACTTTAAAGTGAAGTATAATTATAAAAAACTGTAATAACTCTGATTAGTTTATCGAATAAATAGAAAGTGCTATAAAGTAATTTGTTTTACTTCATACTCATTAAAAAACGTCTTATTTAAGTTCAACATACGATACTAATTTTGCTTAATTTCTAAATTAACAGATTTAGAATAATCCTTATGACCATTGATTTGCTACGGAAGATTGTTTAAAGTTTGAATTTAATTTAAATATAATAATAATAAAGACTAGCCATCTACTCGGGAAAGGTTTTAGTGAAGACTCAGTTCACTTTTTATTCTGTGCTAATTTTTACCTATTCTAATGGAAATAACAAATTGTGGCAAACATTGCTTTCATAGACAATAACACAACTAAATTAGCATTTGCAAAGACTGTTTGAATTAATAAATTTCTAAAAATATGTTTATGAAATACAATAATGTATTACTATAATGCTAATTTTCTTGTAAAATTATTATTGACAATGAAAGAAAAAATAAAACTAATAAAAATTAATGTACTTCTTTCTTTTCATGGTCGTGTTTTTTTTAAACTGGCTTTACGGCTCTGGGTTCTAGCCCTTCTGAGCCTAGTTTCATGGTCATGGTTTAACCATAGACTTAGAATATACTGGCGTATAGACCCCCCCCCCCCCAGCCTATAAATTTGAAGTATATATATATAAAATAATACTGCCAGACGTACTTTAAATAGCACATCTCAAAAATATTAATAATTTAAACTGCACCCATGTAGTTAAGAAATAAAAAATAGTTAAATTCTTTTCCCTTATAACGTCGATATTACTTCAAATAATTAGAATTGGCTACTTTTTAAAGTTTAAAAAAAATGCATTAAATGGAATGATAAAAGCAAAAAGTAGATAAAACCAAATTTGTTAAAAAAAAATCACTCATTCGACATTTATCAACTTCTTGCGTTTAAAATTATTTGTATCAGTAAGTATAATATTATTATAATAAGACTTCAAAAATTTAACTTTCAAAACTTTAGATACAAATAGAGACAGATTTTTATACGTTATAAAACTGTAGTACATTAAAGATAAAAAGTCTTGAGATTATCCTCTTTAAGCCGTTAGGAACCCAATTGAGTATTTATTTATCAACCAAAATAAATGTATAACCTAACTTAACCAACCGCATAGCCTCGCGGTCACACTAGTACAATATTCATAGCATCACGCTATTTTCCCCAATGGACTGAGCGGAGCTTCGGATTATATTCCCAAGTCACAATGATAAAATTTTTAGGTATAGATATTTAGTAATGCTACTGAAGCGCCACTAGACGCCCGCGCTTGAGACGCGATAGTATAAATTCTATTATAGTAATTGATACTCACAACCACAATCTAATAAGAAGTCATATCGTTCGATGCCCGAATCATGCTTAATTGCCGACGACATTGTGCCGAGGGCTTAAATAGTGTGGTTCATTGCCTACACCGTTAGTCGTAGAGAAAAGGAACGCGTGGTTAACCACGCTTGGTGTACTTTACACTGTTAAGATCATTATGTTTTTAAAATTCATGCAGCTAAAATGATAACAGGTTTATTATGACTTTATAATTTATAGGGACAGATGAAAGAGTATGAACATGAAGCACGATAAAACCTCGTAAACATATTGGCCTTTAAACATAGCAATCTTATTTAACTGATTCCTACAAATTTCCTTACTTAAATTATTAAGTCGAATTTTAAAATCAACTTCTATAATGTATTTAATTATTAATTATTAAATTTAATTAAAATATTATGTACTCCGTGTCCCCGTTTTTTATTTCCCCACCAAACATTTTTATAAAATATATAAAAAAAAACTATTGGTAAATCCAATTGTGCATGCCCTAAGCGCATTGAAAAATTACGTATAACGTGATTATACGTAAATTTTTAAAGTAGTTTAAATACACACAAGTTTTCAACAATAACCTTATTATTATACTTTAAATTTATTCAATAATTTTATGCGAAACTTCATTTTAAAAAAAAAGTTTGGAAAATCCAAAAGTGCACAACTCATAATGCTCATATGATCATCATATCATCATTCAGGTCACTCAATAAAGTCTAAGACGTATACTATATATATACATCCTACTTACTTTTAGTAGTATTATTTATTCTGTGCTTTTAAAATATTGTAATAAAAATCTCTGATTATTATAACAATCAAGAATGTATGAAATTTGGTTTTTCGAATATTTTGTACTTGTACAACGATCTCTTTCAGCCGCTACAAACAACCGAAACAGTATCCACTCACGACGGCGGCTGAGGCCGAAGACAGTTTATTTAGTAAAATAAATTATTACAAGGCTGCTTAAAACACCAAATATTTCGGGATTTCTACGCCGAAAAAATTAATTATATCTAAACAAAAAAAAATTAAACAGCGATTTACATTCCATGGCGTCCCACGTGATAGATGAAGAGATTAAAAAATAGATTGAGTTAAACAATTGATATTTACAAAAGTTATCGTGTATCTCTCCATGCGGACTTGATAAATCTACGCAATAAGCCACTAAAACCACTTTTTATGTAAAAATAGCATTTAAACGATTTAAAAAAATATTAATAAGTTCAACAATCATTTATATTTCTGACAATGTGCTTTTTATAATACCAGCGTAAAATAGCAGCTTAATGCTGCTCTGTTTCGTATGGTGAGTGTAGAGAGCATGAGACCCCTTTTACTGGAAATGAGGCATTCCATCGTAGTCCTCAGGGGTGACAACGCAATTGCATTTTGATTCTTAATCGAAGATAAATGTAGATGTCTATGGGCCACAAAGTCCACCTGATAGTAAGTGGATGCCACTTACTATCAGGTGGACTTTGTGCTCGTTTGTCACCCTATTCCACAGACTAATATGATGCTTACGCATCCCTATTCTATTAAAAAAAATACCAACACGTTTTGCGCTTAAGGCATTTATATTATGTTATATCAACTTTTCGCACTTAATATTGCAATTTATGAGTTATTAACGGTGCAGTTATATTTAAGCAGAGTGCAGTTTTTTC